TTACACTATACATCTTAATAAGCCCACGTCCTATTCAGTGACTACAGAGAAGAAGACAGCCATACAAATACATAGAGCTACTGGATTGTCTGTAAGACGTGGGACAGTGGAGATGTGAATGCATTTATGAAGGTACAATAAAGACTTGGGATTTGTCAGAGGGAAACATCAGGCAGAGCACACGTCAAATTCAATTTGATTTCTATAGCACTGTAAACGTTAGTGCGAGAGAAATCATGCAATTGTTTTTGGAAAGGGAATAGAAGAATTACCAATACACAATTCAGCCCAAGGAGTGCAAGGTCTACAGGAAGTTCTCAATGTCTGCTCTAAGTATGGTGTATGTGAGGCATAACACCAGTAAAGGTATGATGGTGTTATGTAGAATGAAAAATTTGTTTCTTCAATTTAATTAATGTGCGACTGACCTGACTGTATAAATAGAATATAAATACTTGGGCCATTCTATTAGTAGTAGTAATCTTTATTTATATACCGCCTTTTCACTGCAGATCTGAGTCTCAAAGCGGTTTACAATTGTTAATTTTGGGCATTTGTCTCTCACTCCACACAGAGATGGGAGCAGAGTCGCCAGTACAGGAGGCGCATGCCAGAACTATTGGACATATTTTTAGTGGTAGGGGAAACCGGAGTACCCGGAGGAAACCTACGCAGACACGGGGAGAACATGCAAACTCCACTCAGAAAGGCCCTGGTCCGACCGGGATTCGAACCCAGGACCTTTTTGCTGAGAGGCGAGAGTGCTATCCACTCAGCCACAGATTATTGACGATATGTCTAATAGTGAGGACATATTCAGTCAATGTTAAATTATGTATTCTCAAGGGTTAGGGTTAATAATTAGACCGTTTAGCGTAACTAATCAACAACATCAAGGTTAAAGTCAGTTCAAAATATTAATTTAAGAAACAGAGATTTTGAAAGGTATGCATTTGTTCCAATGGTTTAGCAAGAAATTCCAAAAGTGTCTTAAAACCATTGTACCTTTTGGATCTGCCACTTCCACCTTCAATCTCACACAAGACAATTGAACTGCACTTAAGGGGCATGAAGGACCATGGGTCACCTGCCGACAAGAAAGAAAAGCAGACTTGGACTGAAACTGAAAAGTCTATTCTACTGCCAAGTTTATGAAGCTGCTAGGGCTGCACAGTGCACTGCTTTGGAAAAAGATCTATTTTCAACATTTCTGAGCAACAATGTAGCTGCGATGTTAAAAATTGTAACATCGCATTTGAAAAAGCGTACATATGATTTTGAGAAGTTCTGGCAACAAAGACACAGAATGCATTAGCCTATTACAAAAAGTAATTGGTCAATGTGAAGCCTGCCAAAGACCAAACCCAAACCTGCAGACACAATTCTTACACATTACAGAAAATGGTTATAGTCTTCTGACCTATAGTTCCATATTTTTTCGAGTAAAAATAAAATATTCACTGCAGAAAATTTTATACAAGTTTTTAGTTCTTCTATACCAGGCAATTGTAAGATAGTGTGATGTTTGACAAGTTCCTCAGACACATATTGTGAGACCGGCCTCATCTGCTGATCGCTATTCTACAATTTTCTGTTATAGAAGAACCAAAGAACTTACTAAGAAGACAAGATTAACCTTCCTAAACTAGTGTTTTATAGTCAGACCTGAATTGTGCAACAAATGTTTACACTTTTGGCTTTATAAGAAATAATAAGAAGTTATATTTTGGAATGTGAATGACCATTTGATAATATTGTTTATTTTGGTTGGGACAGTCCATGTTAGAACACACCTCTCCAGATTGTAGCCTTGGGTTAATTTGAATCCATTGTCCCAAAGCCACACTCACAAACACTCATTCACCCTGAAGAGTTATAAAAAAATGTAATGGTACGGGAAACTGGAGCACCTGGGGGAACAAAAACAAGCAGACACAGAGAGAATATCTAAACTCTACACTGTCCCATTTGGAGATGGAAATGAACCAACATTCCTTCTGTGATGCACAAGCACCACGCAATTGTTAATACTTTTTGTTTGCTAATATATCAAAATATCAATATCTTAATTATTTGCAGTCTTTGCAATTGCACTTCTCGTCTTACCCTGTCACCTGCGTTTTCACCTGCCCAGATCAACCTTTGATGCAATGGCCTCCCCTCACTCTATATCCTCTATTTCAAATCCACAACTCCACACAGTTTAAGTCTCCTTCTCAGAAGAATCACCATCATCATCATCGTCATCACCTCTTCTGGCTGTGTCCCAATGTTCTATCTTACACATCTCCATCGTGGTCCGTATGATCTTTACTTGTCTAATGTATTTGTTCCCTCTGTATAAAGGGAAAGAAATAACTTGAAGGAGCGATGCTAACTGTTGTACAGTATCTTCAGACTAAGGACCCAAGCACTGTCACCATGGGAAACTTGAAATGTACAAAAGTAAAAAGTTGTTCAGACTTGCAGACTAAGGGTCTGTGCCCTCCGGCTGTTTCGGCTATTGGTTTGGCACTTCTGAGCTGGGATTTCAACTCGCTAACAACTGGCTGTATATTGCTGAAAAACTGAAAATGGCAGCCCAGTGTGGTGCAAGCAGCCAGAGAAGAATCAGCAGTTTTAGACAAAACAGAAGTGAAGTGATGCTACTTCTAAGTCTAACTCTTTATGATATGAAAACTTTGGCTTTTAGTATCATCATATTTTTAAGAGTAGTACCGTATAGGTTATATCAGCATTTCTGATCTTGTGTCCAGATTTGATAGAATTGGAAAGTATCGCAGCCTTCTGTGAAGTCCTGACTCAGACCAGCTGGGTTGCTAAACATGTGAATTTACATAAGTTGTATTTGTTTTCATGCATTTGGCTGAGGTTTCTCTGTGATTCCATGTACTCTCCTTTTTGGATAGAACATAAATACATAGCTTAGATTGTCTGTCTCTCTGTCCGTACAAAAAGGCTCTCCTCCAGTACACGGGCATAGGTTATTCTAACTGAATTATATAACTGTTATATTAGTTCCAATAACACTCAAGGACAGAATACCACTTTAGAGTGCACTCAAAACTATGGGTAGGTTATTTCTATGCAGATGGCGAACAGTATGGTCAATCTTACATTCATTTAAATACTGGCAGCCCTATATCTATAATTGATTCTGATGTCTCTACCACTTGAGTGTTTTTTTTTAAACAATGATGATGTCAAATCAAATATGTAAATGAAAAATATATATATATAAAAGATGACATGCATGCTGACTATGGGTCTTAAATGCAGTTTTTGGTTGGAAACAAATCGATGGATTAAGCAAAACCATGCTGAGTGTAGATTACAATGAGAAACAATGACAACAGGACACAAAAATAAGTAAACATTTTGGAACTTGAATCTGGATGTGGATTTTAAGTTCAACACAATTGACAGCATCTTTTGTAGCTTCATGTCTGCCCAGTGCCTCAAACAGAAATAGCTGAAATCACATCCATTCTGTGCAGTGGGGTGTGTGACTTTGCAGCAGGGACAGGCCCAATGTGAGTGAAGTCCCTGGGGTTTGGTGCTGAGGTTGTACAGACAATGCACACCTGCCCATTGGACATCCACCGTCCTGGGACGCCCCCGATGTCCCAGAATGAACCCTCGCTTTGTGGCCATGTACCTCTCAGAGACATTGGAATAGTCATAGTTTGTCCTCCAAGTAAGGCACTCAGACGGCTAACATTAATGGAATACAAATCAAAACTAAGACAATCAAGTATGACATTTATGGGAATTGAATAATATAAAATCTAATTCAATCCTGTCGGAAATATATTTGTAAGTTAGGAATAATCAATACTGAAAAGTCACATAGGCCTTGTCCATGGATCGAGGCAAGAATGTAACGTTAGCCTGCCTTGTACTGCCCTCTAGAGGAAAATAATGTTGCATGCATGTGGTTGAACAGTGTAAATAAAACCCATCCTTGCTATGGTTAGATCACCATACTTTTCACATGCATGTAATATCTGTTGGCGTCAGGCTGACGGTTTTTTTTTTTAAATATTTTCTTTTATCTCTTGCTCAGCCAATCAGCTCTCAGTGGACTGTTTCTTACCATTCTAAGTATGCTAACAACAACACAAGTTTTCAAGAAGATGAAGACAGCATGTGGTGGTCTGATTTGATCAAGAAGTTTCTCTTTGCAATACTCTTTCTGTTGGGACAAACACAACGTATTATACATGAATTACATACATGTATAAGGCTTATAACACATATAGGTATATATAGGTAAATACTCCAGCTTTAAAGTCACAATCCATTTTCATTCAATAAAACATCATATTTAAGATCAAGTACAAAATACAGAAAGCCTGAACAATCAACTGCGATGGAAAGCATTTTAGTTGAATAAACATAAACAATTACCAAAAACAAGGTTATTAACTCACATTTTGGAAATATTTTTCTAAAAAAGACTTATTTTATTCTAAACTGCTCTAAAAGTAGATATTAGAAATTTGGTCATTTCCCACTATTTGAATTTATTCCAGCAGAGGGCACTTCTGTCCTCACTTAAGCAGCAATTGTTAATAGTTGTTGGTGGTTCTTCCCTACTCCAGCATAAGTCAATTGATTTTTTTAACCACAGATAGGCGTGTTTAAAAGAATACAATCCATAGGCAATGATCATTACACTGTAAGCATTAAAACATGGTGCACATTTGACCCCTGGTGCCCTGTGAGCGGTTGCAAAAATCAGTTCTTCTGGACGTCCGAAACAAAGAGGCTTATCCCACCACCTATGTCCCGCCCCGCAGCGCAGCTCTGCCTCTGATTGGCCACATACAGACTGTGCGACGCGCTGATTGGCCCCATGTTTGGTTGTTGAATGCATGTTGTTGCACTCGCTTTGGCAGGAGCGCCCTTTGACAGTGCGCTGCTTTGATTCATGTTTTTTGTGCACGAAATTTTCACTCTGGAAGATTTTTGGGACTAAAGCGCAACGAGAGGAGCGCATGAAGGTATGCCACTTCAACATTGTTTTTCATTTATCTTTGTTTTGTCAACACATCTATCTATCACACTTACCTCGTGGAATAATTAGGTCTTACATTGTCATTTCTCGTCAAGTTACTGACCCAAATGCATGCATGCTGTGTGGATAATCTCTAGTCTCTTCACATGATTTCTACAACATGACTAGTCTATTTTGCAAAGCTTTAATAGACTACTTCATTTTCTTCCTAAAGTTCATTTTTGGATGCGCCTCTCCATTATTGACGTATTATTGATTTTGTAATTTTCAGATTGAAGTCAATAGGTTATTAGGCAACTGAGTGCGTTTTGCAGAGTGTGCGTTATGAATAGGAATTGAATGTGTGTTGTCTTGGTTCTAAACAAAGGGTGTTGAGGCAGGTGGATCCATTTCTCACCAGCCATTGGGGAATGGGCTGTAGTGGAGCAGTAAAAGAACAATGTCTCCGAATGCGTTTTTTCCTTTGTTTTTATGCAGAAACAGGGGAAACACATTAGTATTGTTGAGTGGATATTTAGCATGCAGGTGCCTCTTGGGGCGTTCCAGTTCTCATACACAGTAGACTTGTGTTATGGTTGCTTTCACTTTCTTCAATCTAAAATCAACCTTAAGAATTGGCGCATTCAGTATTGCATTCACTGTGAGATTGTGTGCATAAAAAGAAGGCAAAGGAGGTTAGGCACCTCTGTTCAGCGGTTGGTGATTATAGGTTTTTAGTATTGACATAGTTCTAATGATGCTGGCCCATTTATGTCAGTTTTTACTTTTGTTGTGTGAAAGTTGTTGAAGAGAGAATTCTACTGAATCCAAAGATAACAGGAATTGAGAAAACACAAATATATATAGCCTTGAGACCAGATGATTATGGCTTTTGACTTCATACCCAGACCACAAAAGCCTGTGAGTTAGGCCAGCAAACTCCACTTCATATTATCCTATACCTGTGCTAACACACGTCTTCAACGCATGGATGGTTTCTCTTAACTATTCATAAAACTGGAATTCACCAGAAGCCACTTTAGTCCAGATCTTGATCCTGATAAGAGTTGGTTTCAAATTGCGTCTTTTGTATTTGGTAAAGTCTCCCAGTGTGTCAAATATCCCAGAGTGCACCTGTGTAATGACTTTTTCTGTGTCCAGGAGAAGATGAACGTGGAGGCTCTGAGCAGGGCTGAGCTGCTGACTCTGCTCAGTATCCTGGAGGGAGAGCTGGAAGCCCAAGATGTGGTCATCCATGCGCTGCGGGTGAGATGACCAACTCCTGCTGAATCACACTGTAATCAGGCAACTTGCATCACAGACCAAGAAAAAGGAATTTCTGCGACCCAGCCTATGCACTCATACCATCAATGCAACAATTTGCTCATGTGAAATATATGCAGACATAAGTATAATGTTGTTCTGTTGTCCTATTACCAAAATTCACACTTTTGTTGTTCTAATTCACTCTTGTATGCTTTAATGCCTTAGATTAAGCATGGAGATTTTTTATATGGATACTAAATATATTTTGGTTTGACAAGGATTTTATTAGACTCAAACTTCCTATATTATGACAAGAAGCCCTCCATAGTGTCTGCTTTCAAAAGGAGTGGCTATGTACACAAGGCATTAGTGCTTGTAAGACAATGGCAAAGGGAGGGCCTGTTATTACAATGGAGAATGAGATAAGAGCATTTCAACAATCCTATCGCTGGGCAAAAGATCACATTAATTAATGTGAGAAATGTCAAAATCGTGAAATCGACGGCAGGATAATATGCTTCGTGGGCTCTCTGCAGTTTAGCCCAGTCATGTAGCGAGGGTATATTCAAATTTAGATTGTCCATTGCCATATCGCCTAGCCCAAGTACGCAAACAAGTGAATCTTTTAATTAAACAAATCTTAGAATTAAAATATTGTTCATAATGGTTCAAAAGTTCATTAATTTCTTTAATTTAACATAATAGGTGAAACCAATATATGATCTAGACTCATTACATGTAAAAGGACACATCCCAAGCCTTTTTTTGTTATAATTTTTATGATTATGGTTTAAAGTCAATTTTCAGAATAATGAGATTTTATTGCTGTGAGTCAATTATCAACATCATAACAAAATTATCAACATTATAACAAAACAAGCTCAATATATCTCACTTTGCGTGTAATGAATATATTCAAATTACTGAAATAGAATTAAAGTAAACAGACTTATAAACAATTATTCTTTTCCTTGTTTCATCTGTATAATTAAAATGTATCATTCTCACAAACCCAAAGACATTTATAAGCATCATGAAGGCAGGGAAGGGCACAATTTTCTTGCTGACTCTCACTCACAATCGCACAAAGCAAATAAATCAAGACCTCTTCAATTGCTCATATTAACATTCAAGGTTTCTCTTTTTTTATTGCTTATCACTATTCAAGTTCAAAGCCAAATGCTGTGGTTGTTTGTCTCTCGTCCATCCTGTCACCATTTCCTCCGTCCTTCACACACTTGTAGATTTGGGGGGTCTTTGATGTCGGACCACAGCCCAGGCCCTATCTCGCCTCCACACATTCACAGTGCTCTCTGGGGGAACACTTAGGCTGCTGTGTTTATTATTGTAAGGATGTACAGAGCTGTAGGCCTCAATCGCTCACTTCCCCTCAGCCCACTGGGACCTTCTAAAGCATTTTTACTGGACATCTGTGTCAGGTCACTTGATTTGGTGGCCACTTTACATGCCAGACTTGGTATAAAACAAAAGTAACAAAAAAACGGCCAAATGTATTAAAAACACTGCCTGTTCATAGGTCTTGGGGGCATCTTGATACAGGACATGATACACTGCTCACAATACAATGATAATCAAAAGTTTGCCATAATACGTGACACTATAATATGTAACTCTAACTCTTTCCTTTTTAGAACATTATTTATGCACACCTAATAGAATATTTTTAGAACATTAATAGGAATATTAAAGCTGCAAGTGGCGTCGAACTGCCCTTGCCGTACCGCTCAACAGAGAGGGCACTGACGCCCCATCTAAATACAACCCTGATGGGAGAAACACTGGGTGTTGTAAACATTGCAATGCATAAGATTTGTGAGTCTGTGTCTCCATTGAATAAAATGTGGATTTTCTTTCCTCTATAGAAATTAGACATTATTTGCTGTTCCACTGCAAATTCTGCAGCTAACTTTTGATGCTACATGTGTTGAGATGATGTGCCTCGGTCTGAAAAATAAGTTCATACAATGTCTACATTTGGCTTAGTATGTATGGGGCGCTAATAACGGCTTATTAGCCGAGGGCGAGGTCTGTATGGAGAAATATCAGACCGCGGCCTTAAAAAAGGCCAAGGTCTGATATTTCTCCATACAGACCGAGCAAGCGAGGTTCATAAAGGCCAGATTTGTGCAGTGCACGACTGATTGTTGTCCTATGGACAGACTCTCCCACCTCAGCTGTAGTTATCTGCAGTTCATCCAGAGTGCTCATGGGCCTCTTGGCTGCATCTCTGATCAGTCTTCTCCTTGTTTGAGATGAAAGTTTGGAGGGACGGCCGGGTCTTGGTAGATTTGCAGTAGGGCTGGGCAATAAATCAAATTTTGGCAATTAATCGGCTTTTGAAAAAAATTGAATTCGTGAAAAATGTGAAAATCGTGAAATCGAATGAGGGATATTGTGAGAGTTCCGGCAGCACATCAATTATACTTGCGATATCAGCACAGTCTGTACAAGACTTTTATAATATGTATTGGGGGAAACAAATAAAAAATAGTTTTTAAACTTAAATATTGAGCATGAAGATACAAAATATTTTAAGGGCAAAGTCTGTCTTGAGTGACTTTAATGAAAATCGATTTAAAATCGATATCGTCCAAAGCAGGAAATAAAATCGAGATTTTACTTTTTGTCATATCACCCAGCCCTAATTTGCAGTGGTCTGATACTCCTTCCATTTCAATATAACTGCTTGCACAGTGCTCCTTGAGATGTTTAAAGCTTGGGAAATCTTTTTGTATCCAAATCCGGCTTTAAACTTCTCCACAACAGTATCTCAGACCTGCCTGGTGTGTTCCTTTGTCTTCATGGTTCTCTCTGCGCTTTAAACAGAACCCTGAGACTATCAAAGAGCAGGTGCATTTATACGGAGACTTGATTACACACAGGTGCATTCTATTTATCATCATCAGTCATTTAGGACAACATTGGATCATTCAAAGATCCTCACTGAACTTCTGGAGTGAGTTTGCTGCACTGAAAGTAAAGGGGCCGAATAATATTGCACGCCCCACTTTTCAGTTTTCTATTTGTTAAAAAAGTAAATAATAATAAATTTCGTTCCACTTCACGATTGTGTCCCACTTGTTGTTGATTCATGACAAAAAATAAAAATTTATTAAACTTATTAAATTTATTAAAAAAATAAATTAAACTTTATGTTTGAAGCCTGAAATGTGGCGAAATGCTGAAAGGTTCAAGGGGGCCGAATACTTTCGCAAAGAAACTGGTATATTGGTTGCTGCATCATTATGTTATTGTAATAATGATATTTATTGCATTTTGGGGAACTTACTATAGCGGCGAGTTCGATTTCACTGAAGACACACAACAGTCTCAGTGTTGAATGTAGTTTGTACACTGTGAAGACTTGAAGGAATCAAGGATGGTTCCTGTATATTTTTGTTTTATCAGTATTATCATTCACAAAGCAATGACACACACACAAAATCAAACCCAGAGGAATATTTGAATTGGCCCCCAACCATGTATGATCTCACTTGTTATAATCTATCTGAAGCGCTGTGGCAAACTTGTTTTCTGATTAAACATGTCATTGTTGGGGCATGTCGGTGCAGAGAGCAGATTTGTTTACAGTTTTCATTACTTAGTTACTCTGATAATCTCACAGTGGGAAAATTCTGTGGAGCATGTCTTCAGAACAGGTCGTACAGGAGTGGCAAAACCAAAGGCTCAATCATTGTCTGCAAACAAGGAAGAGAATGCTGTTTTTATGTATCACATATTTAGTGCTCCACCCCTTCTGAAACATGAACTATTGATGGCTCAGATGAAAATAGCAGATATGTTGTTACTCCGATTAGCTCTTTATTTTCTTTAGTAGATGATATCATTTCCTCTCGTACCGTAATGTCTATTTTTGCAGCCTGTGTGTTTTCCTGTTTCTGGACAATAGGGCACAAAGGGCTAGAATGGACTGCTCTGGTAAGGGGCTGTTTAGTATGGAATGGCATTTCAAAGTGGAAAATATAGAATTGCTTATTATAGGATTATTATTCATACCATGTTTTATTTTAACTATGGCTGTGAACAAGGGACTTTACTTATAAATATGCCAATCAGAAATAATTCCACTGCTTTTCATTGTAGCAGACGGCTGTTGGTAATGCTTAATGCACATTCATTGCTTTTGCTGTGATGAAACTTACGTTACTTTGCCTAAGCATCAAATTTACCTTTAAATTGAAAATAAAGGTCCCCAAACTCTGGCGTCTACAGACCCTTCCAAGTTCTTCATAGAGTATAGAAATATGTTAAATATTCCAAGTTTTAGGATTCATATGCAGACAGCTATTACAAATACAATACAATATACTTTGTGCAATATGTGATAGCAGTCTTATATCTCAGGCTAGAACAACATTCAACTCATTTTAAAGGAGTAGCCACATTTGTTCTAAAAAAGCAGCTCGCTGAGTTTGAATTCCTCAGTTAGCTGCAGTTACTGCGCTCCCCCTTGGTTTCACTGACAACTTTTGCAAAAAATTTGAGACATGAAAATTTGTCGTTGCATAAAACAAGTCTTAAAGAGGTTTTAACTAGATTTTTTTATAAAATATGCAGATACTACATTATTCCATTGCAGCACAGCGTTAGAAACCCCTGATTTAAAGTGAATACCAATTACAGTACTTATTCAAATGGTGAAGAGAGAGAGGGGAATTCCCACAACAATTATAAAGCACAAACATTTTGACTCTCAGTCTGTGAAAGGCGGGATGTCAATAAGGATTACTTACTTACTTACAAGAGAGAACATTTTCAAATGCAAGGAGCAGTCGGACTCAATTGGACGTAATAAATTCACTCTCCGTATTTGTCCAGCAAATCTTACTGGCTGTAGTTATTATTTTAGAAAAATGCTTTTTTACATGACAGTACTGTGTCCATTCTTTTAAATATGAAGTTACTGGCAAAGAACCCCCAGGTTGAAGGGAAAGGCAAAGGAGTTCTTGTTAAAATATATATATAACATGCCTGGTCTTGTTGTCCGTTTTGTGCCAGTGCAACTTCTGAGCTGCAGAGAAAGAAGCTAATTCTGCAGGAATGCATCGATTTAACCCTAACCCCAGGAAACGCTTTTGGACTTGACATGTTACTGTGGAGACCACCTTGGACAAGCGGACAATGATGGGAACGTGTACCACTGTATTTGATTTACTTTGAGGCTAGTGTCAGGAAAATACTTTTGTTGGAATGAAACTGGGATACTTGACTTGAATAGGGCCTAACATACATCGATTACTGTTAAGGTCATCGTTGTTAGTTGGTAAAGTTTTGAGGCATGACTTTTCACCTTTTAGAGAGTACATCTCTAAAAGCTTACAAATATGCTATATTGTAAGCATATTTGTTTTATGCTTACAATATAGCCTGTTTACTATGTTTGTCTCTTACAATTCTCATACATTTTTGTTGTTGTGTTGAGTGGTTGTCTTGAGACAGAATTAGAAGTTAATCCGTCTTTTGAGCGTCTTGCTTCCTGACGAGCCTTAGGTCTGAATGCATTGTAAGGAGCTGCATCAACAAAATCAGCCGTCCAAAGACACATCAGATTATCCATGCGAGTAATTTACTTTGGCGCTCCATAAATGCAGCAGCGTTTCTTTCGGGTGTGTGGCGTGAGGATTAATCGGTAATAGGAGAGATGTGGTAGGTGCCCTCTCCAGCTGCTTGGCCTATTGTTAACGCGCCATTACAGAAGCTTATGACAGAAACTCTACTCCCTTCTTCCCTGTCACCTCATACAAGGCTTGGACTGTGCCTAGGGCTGCAGCTAACCTACTCATGGGCAAATTATACAGCTGTAATATACATCCGCCTCACCAAATATAAGAAAACATAGAATAGAAACCAGGAGAAAGGTTTGTAGAATGAATTTATTTGGTCAAAGACATTATTTTAAAGCTTAGCAGAATTTGGGATCAAGAATAAAAGCCATGAACAAAAATTGCAGTACACGACCTGAAATTAGAGCTTAAAAGCAGGGTAAAGTTATTCCCTCTCATGAGTAAAACCACACTCTGTCATTAGTATCCGAAATGTCCCTAACCATAAGGGACTAAAAGCCAGCACGGTCCAGCCTTGAGTCTGCAAAAGTACTCAAAAATGTCACCAAAATACAGTTTTACATGCGTTCATAAATGTATTATTGCACAAACAGTTCAAGCTTGAAACTCTGCTAAGACTACATACTTTGTAGAATATTTCATGTAAGATAAAACCATGCCAAAACAATTAAAACATTGTTTCATTGGTCAATAATATATCTGAATAGTCAGCTATACTCAAATGATAAGCAGACTACTCAAATATTTGTTATTGTAGCCATGGCAGCAAGAAATGTCTTTTATTTTTCATTCACTGATGCACATAGGCTTTTGTTTATTGTCAGGCAAACTGTGCCATGAATGTGGGTGACTATCTCTTATCTTATTACAGCAATACGTTTGACTCATATCTGACATTAACTACCCTACCAGTAATGTTTATATGACGATTGACTTCATAGCACACATAAATCATTAGCCATAAGGAGGAAACGGCTTGCTCACTGCTGCTATCAAAGCCTTCTATTTGCCACTGCCAGAATATCAGAGAACAGAGGCGTTGAGCAAGTGTCTCAGAATGACCCATGTAAACTCCTTTTTACTGGAGTCTTTGTTGAGCCACAGAAAAGAGCCTAACAGAGCTCTCCCCCAGGGCTGTGTGTGCTTGTGGAGAGAGAGACTGACAGAAGACCCAAGTAACGAGAGGCACTCTCTGAGAAATGATGAAGAGACATTGGAATGTGGTGTCATGCATGTTTGGGCAGCGGACAGAGGGCTACAAGACTGGGGCAACTGTCTGCTTAGCATTTCATGGAAAGTTGGACAAGTTTGATAAAGACATGTCTTTATAACGATTTATAGAATCTCATTGTTAGCAGCCAATAAGACCGCCCAGATCAATTGCACACATTAACTGATTTTGTTATAAAAGCAGGACTCATGCGAAATTGGCCTTCATAATAAACTTCACTCCCTTCCACTCCTATTTGAATTATTATAAGAGGTAATTGGAGTATGTTGATCCCCATTCTTAAACATTGGTTGTATGTCTGCATGCTGTTAAAGGAGTTGTTTTGAAAATAAATTGGTGATACTATATATTATATAATCTCTCATTCAACTAAATTTATATTTTCATTTGCGTCTTTTTTGGCAATTTCTCTGCATTTTTGAACCAGTTTCGTATACTATGGATGTCCCATGGGAGAAATTCACATGCGCCCCTTGTGGGGGTTGGCCAGGCCTCAATTCTTTGTGTTCGGGTTAAAGGAGAGGGTCCATCTGCTGAAGTGGTCACAATAATAACTTCACACTCATTTCCTGTACAAATGCACACACTTCTCTCAAACTGCATTTTTTTTGTCCACTTTTTGTCTGTGTTATTCTTACATATTAAGTTTATTGTTGCCGTTCTATGTGTTTAATAACTGAGTTCTCATGAAAACCTTCACCTTCTTTAGTGAATTGGTCATTTGAATGATTTAAATGGTTCTCATTTTAACATCTGCCCCCATTATTTGTTCAACCAAATTAGCTTTCAAGATCATCGAAAATCTTTTTAAAGTAGCAAAGTAGCAATATGTAAGATTTTCATGCCCTAATATGTCTTTTTGAACACTTCTGTAACTGATAACAGTAGTTCAGCCGAGATATTCAAATTTCTAATTTGTTTTACAGCCCCTAAATCTTGTTATTGTTTTCATTTCGATGTCTCAAATCATTAATAACAAAACAAGGAATAAAAAATAGGATTTCTGTTGGGGCCTTTGTGAAAAAGGTGTTGGTTATAGATTTTTTGTTGACATAACTCTTGTCTATTCAGCTATTATAGTCCCAGCTGGATTTGTCTGCATATCTGGCAACCTGAGACAGGGAGAGTGCAGTACCTCTTTTGGCCAGATTTTTTACATACTGCTTCTTTAAAACTGAAGTAGTTAACTGTATTTCATAATAACAAATTCTGTTTGTCCCAACAGAAAGTTGTGTTTCTGGTGGGACAAAGTTTTGTAAACAAATCAGATCACATTGGGCTGATTAGCTGAGAGAGGATGGTCTTCTCTTTTTCACATTTCTGTCTGAAAAAGGGGATCCACAGATGTGACAAGGCCAAAAATACATCCATCCATCCATCCATTTTCTTCCGCTTTATCCGTTGCCGGGTCGCGGGGGCAGCAGTCTAAGCAGAGACGCCCAGACTTCCCTATCCACACACACTTCTTCCAGCTCGTCCGGGGGGACCCCAAGGCGTTCCCAGGCCAGCTGAGAGACATAGTCCCTCCAGCGTGTCCTGGGTCTTCCCCGGGGCCTCCTACCGGTGGAACGTGCCCGGAACACCTCCCCAGGAAGGCGTCCAGGAAGCATCCGGAACAGATGCCCGAGCCACCTCAACTGGTTCCTCTCGACGTGGAGAAGCAGTGGCTCTACTCCGAGCTCCTCCCGTGTGACCGAGCTCCTCACCCTATCTCTAAGGGAGCGCCCAGCCACTCTGCGGAGGAAGCTCATTTCGACCGCTTGTATCCGCGATCTCGTTCTTTCGGTCATTACCCAAAGCTCATGATCATAGGTGAGGGAGGGAACGAAGATTGACCGGTAAATCGAGAGCTTTGCCTTTCGGCTCAGCTCCCTCTTTACCACAACGGTCCGATACAGCGACCGCATCACTGCGCACGCTGCACTGATCCGCCTGTCAATCTCACGCTCCATTCTTCCCTCACTCGTGAACAAGACCCCGAGATACTTGAACTCCTCCACTTGAGGAAGGACCTCTCCACCCACCTGTAGAGGGCAAGGCCAAAAATACATGCATGTGAAAAGTTTGTAGAAGCAAAATGTTTTGAGAGAGGAAGGAACTAGATGGAACTCAAATGGATTGTACAAGTAAAAGTTTTGTGTTTTGAAAAGTAAGTACCCCGGCTATAAAGATGATAACACACATTCTTTCATATATATTTATAAGTACTTATTGCAGCCCCCCAGGGCCCTGCACCCCTGATATGATAATATTAGTGTATCCTTTTTTATGAACGTATTTTTTTCGTATGCCACCTGCTTCTCCTAATGGCAAAAATAGAGATGCAAATACCAGTTGTCCAAATATTTATACACTGTTTTCTCTGCATTTTCCTTTTAGGCCCAGCACAGAGATGCCTTCGTGCAAGAGCGTTACGGACAATATGACCTCAGCGATCCGTTCCTGGCTTTGCAGCGGGACAGTGAAGCGGAGGAGAGGGAGAATGCCCTGGCTCAGAACAACAGCAGCCTGGCAGGACGCGCAGTGGGCCCAAACCCTCTGGCTGTACTCAAACTGGTCATGGCTCACTGCAAAAGGATGCAGGAGAGGATGATGGGTCAGCTGACTGCAACAGAAAGAAGACATAAAAGGGTAAAAGGGTCACAAAGAAAACCATAATCTCACTTTGTGTTCAACGTACATTCTGATGTCAAATTGTGTGAATGTAGAGTAAAACGTGATATTTACTTCTGACCACGGATGTCAAAAGCGAGGCCTGTGAAATAGGTTTTAGAGGCCCCTGACATGATTTTCAATTCATACTATAATTGATACATGAAATATATAAACGTATAGCAAACCAGTCAAGGCTGTTTCTTAGCATTATATCTATTTTGGGTTTAGTTCAAACATAACTGAAATAATTGTGTTCAGAAATATTTAATATGATAATGATGTATTTGGACCTCCATAAGTTAAAATATAAATATAGAAATGCACAGTATTTGTTTATTTATTTTATTTATTTATTTATTTAGAGGATAAGCCCCTTGAGATGAACCATCTCATTTTCGAGGGGGTCCTCGAGATTTCACAAAGTGACAGATACAGCAAAACAGATGCAAACAAAACAAAAATACAAGAAAATAAAATACAAGAAATATAAAATTTGCTTCAAACAAACTTTCCACAAATACAACAATGGATACTTTGGTCTAAAACAGTAGCCAAAAATGTTGTGGCTTTAAACTAACTTTTTATTATTATTATTATAGTGCACCCAGCAAAAATGAGTTCCCATCTTTTCTAGACCATAGTTCTGTCCTTTTTCAGCCTACTTAGCTTGGCATCAAATTGTTGGAAGTAGACACACATAAAGACGGAGGCTAAACATGTTCTTGTCTAATCCAGTAATATTTAGAGTTCTTTTTCTAAGCCTCCAACTATATATGGCTATAACTGCAAAACAAAACAAAATCGCTTACTTCTGCTTTAATGTGATTTGTTACTGTTTGTGGTGACAGATGATTGCTGATTTGGAGGAGGAGAAACGGTGCAGGGCTCAAGAAGCCGCCAGAAGTGAAGATGTTACTTATATGCTCCAAATAGAAAGGGACAAACTCCTTCAACAGGTAGTAAACCATATATAGTTTTATTATAGTTTATATTATTAGCTAAAGTATAGTAAAATTAAAGTCTAGAGTTGTGTTATCATTGATCTTGTGTCGTGTGCTCCTCATTCCTGCTGTAATGTAACTTGTGATACAACACTTTTTACGTAAACCTGACAATACATCCCACTACTTGATGTAGTCAAATTCCACTGCAAATTATGTCAGTTTTCCCTATAAACAGGATACTAAAGCACTTCTAATATGGAACAATTAGGATTACAAACCAACAATGTGATAAAAGTAAGTGCTAACTGATCATTTATCATATTTAAGCCTGTTTTGCTTAGCTGGATGTTCTGCGTAGAGCTGTATTGCGTGACTCAGCGGGGAGGAGAGGGCTGGGCCTGGGAAAGTACATGCACTGAAGAGTGTCTGTGGGTCTGTCCGCGCTGGGCTGGTCTAGAGGAAACAGAGGTGGATGCGGCCATTGTTTGGTCGTTCAGCAGCTCTGGGCTCTTATGGCCTCAGGAAACGTGAGATAAATGATGGCCATGAGTAATACTAGGGTCACAGTGCAGACACGCATACAGATCTCAGCATGAGGCTCTAAACTCAACACAGGTATTATGTAAGAAAGACATAATATATTTGTGGTTCCTAATCATCCCCAGACTTTCCTTGCATTTTGAACTCCTACACAGTTCTGATTCTAGTTTCCAGGGGCCCTAAGCAGTAATGTTTAAGGGTCCACTTCTCTACAACTCACTGAGGCGACAGGGTCACATAACATTTGGAAAATCTTACTTGAAAATCCATTTGTGTGTGAATAACACGGAAAGACAACTATAACTTGTTGTTTAAAATGTGCAAAAAGTTTATGTTGGATGTTAATTGTCCTTTAGATAAAAAAAATATATAACATTTGATAGTCATTTGATAAACTCATAAACTATCAATATACATATTTATTTGTCTTTTCTTTTTTTTTATGTATGAAATACAATCTAATTTTGTAAATGAAACATTTCACTTGATTCACATTTAGTTTTATACATTAGTTTTGTCTGCATTGATCGCCTCCTTGTGGTCAAATTTGCGAGTGTTGTTGACCACCTTTGTCTTTCTTTTGATAAGTTGGAGGTGGAGCGGGCTACAGTGCGGCGCCTGGAGAAGGAGCAGGATCAGACGGTGAGCCAGGTGGAGGAGTCCCTATCCCAGCAGCAGCAGCTCTCGTCCACCTTGAGCCTGGAGCTACAGCGCGCCTGCAGCCAAGCACAGGAGGAGGCCCATAAGGCGTCTCAGCTCCAAAGTCGACTCCAGGAGGAAACCAGTGCTCTGGAGAAGCTACAGCACACTCTAGAGGAAGAGAGAAGACACTCAGCGCAATTTGAGGCCAAGTTTGAATGGCAGCTGGCTGAGTTAACTACAGAGCGAGAGGAGATCAAATCTCAGCTCTATAATGAAACAGAGAGGTGTAAGGAGCTTGAGAGACAGGTGGAGGAGCTCACAGAGAGATTAGCTTCTGTACAAAACACCTGTGATATAAAGGGAAATGTACTGTCCAATAAAGCATCTGTTCATTCAGAACCAGATGGAAAAGTTAACGGCACAACTATGCCAGCCACTGTGTCCAAGGCCAATGGTCATCACACTAACAAAGGGACAGAGCCCACAAAAGAGAAGAAAGGCCATGAAAATGAGGTGATAGCAGAAAATGGCAGCGGACTTTTGTCTCATTCACCTGTTCACCCACTCTCTAACCCTCGCTCTCCATCCAGCACAGCTTCCTCGTCCCTCTCCTCCTCCCCAGTCTCGTCCCCAGTGCTGGCCAAACGCCTTGGGAGCCCAGGCTTTCATCAGTCAGCTTACCAGGCTGGAGTCAATCAGCGCTTCCATGCTGCCAGGCACAAGTTCCAGACTCAGGCCGAACTGGAACAGCAGCATCACAGCAGTGGGCCGCTATCTCCTCGAGACCTGTCTCCAACCACCACCTCCCCCCCGCCACCAGAAAACAGTACTGCCAAACAACTGGCTCGCAACACTGTCACACAGGTGCTGTCACGCTTCACAAGCCAACAGGCTGGAGTCAAACTGGCCCCAATCAGCAGCTCCCCTTTTGGCACTGATTACCGCAACTTGTCTTCCCCTACTGCTCCTAAGTCCCCCTCGGCATCACCTTTATCTCCAGGCATTCGCTCACCGCTCACACCGCGCTCTGAACGTACACACCCTCCTCCTGTTCCTCCCAAAAGGCCAGGGATGAGTCCCACTCCTGGATCCCCGAGTCATTCCACAAGGAGCCTCCACTTTCCAGAGCTGTCAGGAAACTGTGCAGACAAAAGTATGAAGGAAGGAGCGAAAGAGCCTGACCTGGTCCTATCATCCAGTAGTTAAGATTTCCATCTTAGATGTTTTCATACATCCCCCAATCTATGTTATAGAAAATTGCTATTCATATGCAAGCAAAACATGTGTTGTTTGCAAAACTAAGCTGGTTGGTCTACTTCTACCTCTGTAGCATTATTAAAACAATTTTACTTAGATTCTGAAAGAATGCTTTTAATGGAGGCGGAGATACAAGCACATTGAATATATGCAGGATTTACTCACTGAAATGTATTATTGCACAAATAACTGCTATTTGTACATCTCTATAAGTAAACTGTAAAAATCTGGTTAGAAATGCAATTTTAATGATAAGAAAAAAATCTGTCATGTAAAAGAGTTTCCTCTTTAACAAAAGACAATAAGCTGTAGAAAATTAGATTAGAACTATTTTAATTGAAATATCTTTTGTTGATTTTATCTTATTATTATGATTATATAAAAAGTAACTGATTTAGTGATACATTGCACTATAGATTACAGATCAAGTCTTTTAAGTTATACTATTCAATTGTGTATGTTTAGCGTTAGATTTTTCCCAACACAGAAATATTACAGCACAGCTCTACTTTATAATATGCACAATGGCGCCCCCTGCTGTACAAGCTGTACTGAAGAAACTTGTTCACCAAATACCTAGAACTACTACGTGATGTTTTACCATAGTCTGTCTGTTTTACATGTTGTTATGCACAATGGAATGTTTAGTTCTGTATGTAGTTCATAATATTTGAAACCGCCTTAAAACAAATTCCATAATTCCATCATTTCATGTATCCTCTTGGTTGGATTGTACATCAAATAAATTGTGTTGTCAATCATTTCAGTTTTCATTCTTATTTTTCCTTAGCAGTAAGATTAAATTAGGGAGTATGTCCTTGCATTTGTACCCATAGATCTACGAGACAATCATGTTGTTTCCGGAGTTCCAGAATGCATAGAACACACCATGGATCTATTGATAAACAAGATCCCCCCCGATACACACCAACGCCACAGTCCATAGATCTGGGCTGGCCAATATAGACCATAGACTGTATATATAGACATAAATGATATAATAATAGATCCATGGTCTATAGACTGTATGCTTGTCTGCAGCTGAAACGGACTTTAATTTCCGGTAGAATCTAGCCTTTCAAAATAAAATGGCCAAACAATGCAGCTCTCTGATAATATAGCAAGAAATCAACAAAATGATGTGAACTTTCAGAGACATTTTAACTAGTTTGATGACTTTGGGTTCATGTGCATGTCGTTGCTTTTCGCGTATTTACAAATGTATTGTATAAACCGGAAGCTTGGTCAGAGCAGGTTATTTTCAGGGCTGTGTAGCTTGTGGACTGGGCGTTCGTAGCTATGAAGGCTCCGGTAATTAACCTCATGTTATTTACCTAAATGAACTCTATCTCATCGGAACATTTATAACTGAGTCCTTTCTTAACGTGCACCTTGTTGTGATCTTGTCAATGGCAGAAAGTTGATACAAGCTAAACATACTCAAACAAGTTAAGCTAGCGGGTGGGGACGATCCAGTCATGTCCTACAGGAAGTTCCTGCTCTCCGATCTGATGTCTCTTTTAGCAGCGTATTTCTAGCAGGTTCTTTATTGCATTGTGTTTTGAGTGCAAGCAAACGTGGATGAATAGCACTCTATTGAATAAAGAATGTATAGATTAATGCAAGTTGTGAGGCGATTTGTAAGGTGTAGCCGTAGTTTGCACTATTCTGCCATGCACTTCCAGGTGATGACCAACCCTGAGGAAATCTCCAGGCTGTACAAAGACCTCAGCCTCTTTCCTTCCCTGACAAGAGCAGATGTTGGGCCTGTCATAACCTCTCAGTATGGAGGCAAATACAGCAACATTTACACAGGTTTGCAAGGGCCCCCAAATGCTTCTGTAATGAAACCGAAAGTAACCATGGTTGTGTTTCCCCAGAATGGAGCCAGCGAGATCTTGATAGAAACGAGAATGTAAAATTTTGCAGACAGTACATAGTTTTCCACGATGATGCATCAGTAGTTTTCTCAGGTGCTTGTGGAAACTGTTCTGAAATCAAAGGAGAGTAAGTGGAGTGCTCTTTCTGTAATATTTGATGCAAGTCTAAACAAAGAACTGTTTAAAATTCCCATCTCCATTTTATAATCAGAGTATTGAGTAAAGATTCACCTTCAGGAGAAATGAAGGTAGTTGTGCGGGAGTGTACTGCCAAGGGAGAAGATAAACAATATTTGGAGGTATATTAAGACTGTACAGAGTTCAGTTTGTACTATATTGTGCTCCGCTGAATAAACATTTTCCCTTGTTCAGATCTGGAGGAAGAATGTCAAAATCAAAAGTATCAACCTTGCAGCCTTAAAAAAACATGGAAAAGTTTATGAAGATGGTTTGTAATTTTGTTTTAAAGTGGATATTCATATTATTTACCGTAATCCATGTTTTAAACTGTTTATTACTGATAATTCTTGTAGAACAGTTTGGATGTCTGGTTTGGTCCCACTCAGAAACCCACCTTCTCTATGTTGCTGAAAAGAAAAGACCTAAATCGGAATCCTTTTTCCAGGTTTGTCTGGCTTTTTAACTACAAAATGTTAACTAATACAAATATTTACCAGACAGTGATTCCAACACTAAAAAGTTTGTTGCCAATCCTCTTTGACCATAAACTCGGTACTTCAGTCAAACCAGACTTGTTGTGCAAGGATATTACTTCCTGTTTCACATGTAGCCATGTGTAGTTAGAATGGATCTGACCATGGCTCTTTCACCCTGTAAATAGTGATTTTTTTTTTTTTTTTGCAGACCGAGTCGCCCGGGCTGTCTGCATTGACAGATGAGGATGAACCTTTGAGATTAGAGAAAAAAGCTACTGTTCAAGTGGGGGCTACTTTAATGCTTTATATCCTCATGATATAATGATTTTAATTACATCTTAAAATCACCTCTACTTACTATCCTGTTGTAGGGAGAGCAGTTCACTTTTTATGAAGACTGGGGAGAGGCACTGGTCAGTAAGAGCAGCCCAGTGCTTTGTGTTTTGGACATTGAAGGGGACAATGTGTCTATTTTGGAAGGTGTGCCTGAAGACATATCTCCTGGGCAGGTTTGTTGATACTTTTTATATTGTGCATGTGTTAATAGTACCAGAGAAAACGTCCAAAACCTTCTGCTGCAGTGAGATGCATTATCGCTAACAACTAAAAAACAAGTGGATGATCTTTGATTCAAATCAACAACTTTATGAAGTCCTCTGAGACAAATTGCTGATGTAATTTAGGGCTATAGAGAAATACATGCAATTTAATTGATCAAAGGCAAAAAGGGCTTTAGGCAAAGATACCTTTGTTTGCGCGACTATGACAACGAGTGGGCACATTACATAGGTAGACTGTATATAGATGGACAATGGCAACCTTTTAGCTCAATAAAGCCCATGGTGCTCATGAAGTTTTGCTCCAACTCGCTCTGGCGTCCATGGATTTCTACTGAAAAGTCTGATTTAGCAATCTCACTATGGTCTTGGTGTTTATATTGTCTTGTACAATACAATACAATTTATTCTTGTATAGCCCTAAATCTCAACAGTAGTCATCTCAGAGGACTTAAAAAAACCATTGAAATCACCAACACGGATCAGAGAATCAACAGTTAAGAAACAAAAATAATATAGAACACATGTTGAAAAATCTCCATACATGTTGTAGAATGTTAAAGTGTCCTGGATCATCACCACAGTCCTTTTTGTTGGACACTTAACTGTCCAACAGACCCTCCTGCATCGGCAAGGAAAAAAAAAACTCCTTAGAAAAACCCAGTGGGGAAAAAGTGAGAAACCTTGGGGAGACCCACGAATTGAGAGAGGGATCTGCTCCACACGGACAGACGGGCTATAGATTCAGGATCTAAGCTGGATGGAGGCGGCCAGGTTCAGAGGTCCCGTCGTTTCACCATGAAACAGACAATGGGACAACAAGTGAATAGCAATGAACAGACTACAGTCAAAATCCTAATAATGCAGGAAGGAGGAGAGGATAGTGCTCAAGTTACCATACTTCTCCCAGCAAACTGACTCCCTACGCAGCTTGAATGACAATCTAAGATGTTTAGCCTTCCTATTATGCTAAACTAAAGACGACTGTTTTAAGCCTAGCCTTGAATGTGGAGACCGTGTCCGAACAAAGGAGAGACAGCAGCAGCCCCGGCTACAGCACCAAGGATTTGTGGATTACACACCAAGTGTGTAAACCAAACCAGACAAACAACCTTACACTAAATTGAAGAAGAGTGTTTTAAGCCTGGCCTTAAATGTGGAGACCGTATCTGCTTCCTTAATGTGGATGGGAAGCTGATTCCACTGGCCATATAAGGATTGGCCAGATGGATGCCTTAATTCATGGGGAAACTCCAACTTGCCATAGGAGCTATTTTAGTAACATGTCTACCCCTATTAAGGTGCAAAGATAACCCCGTCGGAACAAATGCCCTTATAAGGAAATTGGCTTCAGGTAGCTTATGTGAAAACATGCTTCTTCCGCATTTGGTAAACACTAGGTGTGATGTCACCACTCAGTCAGTCCACTCCGTAAACGGTCTATTGGGCACACCAAAGATTCACTACTCATTAAGTAGATGATGTACATTTTGCATAATATGTTTTGATATGACTGTTTGCAGGCATTTTGGGCTCCAGATGATACAGGAGTTGTCTTTGTGGGCTGGTGGCATGAACCATTTAGACTTGGCCTTAAATATTGTCCTAATAGAAGGTTAATATTGTGCAAATAAATGATAATGATAATAATACAATAAAACTATTTGTTTATTCCGTTATATGTATTTTTGTGTTGTCAGGTCTTCTTTGTTTTATGTGGATCTCATTGGCGGGAAATGTGGTAAGTCAATACGTGATTAAGATAAGATAAGAAGGAGACATTCGCATTGTCAGGAGCCGCACATAGTTTAAATTGCATGGTGACATTTCACCATGCAAGTTAGGCTGGGTGCAGGGACTTTCTTGCATGTAAAGTAATATTATTATTATTAATCTTTATTTCAGACTCAAGATAAAATTGGTCCATACAAAAAATAAAAAGATAAACAATAAAAGGACAATGCATTCAAATATATAGTATCATTTCCAGCAGATTTAAATATGATAAAGTGTATCTGTCCAGTGCTTTCTCAGAGCAGACGTGTAGCGACATGAGCTCATTCTACCGTTGGTCAGAGTCCGAATGATGCCGTTCTCAGAGTCCTCCACACGTTCCTTGAACCGAAAGGTTAGATGCCGTATCAGAGCCTCACAGGTGTGAATGTGGGCTCTCACAAACAGTTCACTGGCACTGTGCCACCTGGGCACCCGGAGCAGCAGCCTGAAGGCATCATTGTATGCCACTGTGAGTCTGTGGAAGGACCTGCGACTGTACTTGGTCCACAGAGGAGCTGTGTACAGCGGAGTGCAGTACGCTCGAAACAGAGTACATTTAACAGGATAAGAACACATGCTGAACCTCCTCATCAGTGTGTTCGCCTGGGCATAAAGTTTACAGCACTGTCTTTTAATGTCTCTGTCATCACGCCAGTCATCTGTGAGAAAGTGTCCCAGATACTTTGTCTCTTTGGAGACGGAAAGAGGCTGACCACAGAGCTGAAAGTCAGGGAAGGTCAAATGTTTATCCTCTCTGCTTCTCACAATCATCATGTTGCTCTTTGTTGGATTGTATTTTATGTCAAACGTCACACCATACGCTGAGCACACTTGTAGCAGTCCCTGCATGCCTGCACTGTAAGGGCTTATCTAGTTGTCTACCTACAGCTTACTAGATTTCTTATAATCAACAACTCATTTGATATGTTTCAGTCCGGCTTTAGACCCCACCACAGCACTGAGACCGCTCTCGTCAAGGTTACAAACAATATCCGGCTAAACACTGACGCAGGCCAAGTCTCAATCTTAATCCTGTTAGATCTAAGTGCTGCCTTTGACACCGTCGACCATGAGATCCTCTTACAGAGACTAGAGGACTGGGTTGGCGTCGCTGGCACCGCCCTAAGTTGGTTTAGGTCTTACCTTGAAGACAGGAAGTACTTTGTGGAGATTGGAAACTGTGTCTCAGATCATATGGCCCTGACCTGTGGAGTACCACAGGGGTCGATCCTGGGACCTCTTCTGTTCAATCTCTACATGCTGCCGTTAGGTCAGTTAATACGCAGAAAGAAAGTTTCCTATCATAACTATGCAGACGACACTCAGATCTATGTCTCACTGACTGCAGGAGAACATGGACCAGTGGACTCACTCCTTCGCTGTATCCAACAGATCAGTGAGTGGATGCAAAACAACTTCCTTAAGCTAAACGCAGACAAAACTGAAATGATTGTCTTTGGTCCCCAGAAACAAAGAGAGAGCGTCATCTGTCACCTACAGTCTCTCTCCCTAAAACCTTCAAACAAGGTCAGAAATCTAGGGGTAATACTGGACTCAGACTTAAATTTTAATAGCCACATCAAATCAGTAACATCAGCAGCTTTTTACCATCTAAAAAACATTGCCAGGATCAAAAACATAGTGTCTAAAGCAGACTTGGAGATTCTTATCCATGCATTTGTCTCCAGTAGGTTAGACTACTGCAATGGCCTGCTCACAGGTCTGTCCAAACAGGCTGTAAAACAGCTGCAGTACATTCAAAATGCAGCAGCTCGAGTCCTGACTAGAACCAGGAAGTACGACCACATTAGTCCAGTTCTCAGGTCTCTGCACTGGCTTCCTGTGGCTCAGAGAATAGACTTTAAAACATCTCTGCTTGTGTACAAGTCTCTCCATGGCCTAGCACCAAAATATATTAGTGACATGTTAGTACCATATGAACCAGCCCGGACTCTGAGGAGCTCAGGGACTGGACTCCTGTTAGTGCCCAGAGTCAGAACTAAACATGGGGAGGCTGCTTTTCAGATTCATGCTGCTAAAATCTGGAACAGTCTTCCTGAAGATGTGAGACAGGCCTCCTCTCTGACAATGTTTAAAACCAGATTAAAGACGGTTCTGTTTAGCTGTGCATACAACTGAGGGATTTTATATTTTTATCTCTTTTTTTTAACTTTTTTTTTAATGTACTGTGATTATTTATGATTTCAATGCTTTCTTGTTTTGTTCAGCACTTTGAGTTGCCTTGTGTATGAATTGTGCTATACAAATAAACTTGCCTTGCCTTGCCTTTCCTTATGATGACAAGATCGGCTGCATACATGAGATGGTTGATTACGGTGGTTCCCATGACACACCCTGTTTTACACATGTTCAATTCAGTGGACAAATCATCAACATATATATTAAATAAAAAAGGAGAAAGGAGGCCTCCTTGTCTAACACCATTACACACATAAAAACTTTTTGAAGAGCATTGTCCCATTTCACACTCATGAGTTGATTAGCATACCAGAAAGCTAGAATCCTAATCAAGTAATTCGGCACTCCTCTATGTGCAAGTTTTAGGAACAGTTTGCAGTGGTTCACTCCATCAAAAGCCTTACTAGCATCAATAAAACATAAAAGTACAGATTAATTCAATAGTCATACAACATTCATACATGCAATATAATTATTTTGTTTTATGTTACAGAGCAGTTGAACTCAGGCTCCACCGCAGTGTGCTCTCCCAGGCTGAGTCCAGACCACTGTAGGATTGCATACTTGGAGTGCTCTGTTTACGGACCTCATATGCAGTGCAGCAAGTTGTGCATGGTATTAAATAGTATTTCAGCTTTGTGATGCCTGCATATTTCCTCCTCATTGTCAAACATTGTGCTGGTACTTTAAGTACAGCTTGATCCATTCAATTAATATTGAAGTCTTGTGAGACATCGGTAATGGGCTGAGATGTCATTGATTGAACTTACTGTCCCCTCTCTGCCATAAACTCAATTTGTCAAACTTTAGCTGCCAATATACTCAGTTAATACCAAAATTCACTTGTTTGTACAATTCACACAATCCTTGATATCTATTTTTGGTGGCTGTAAATTGTCTGCTTGAGATAATGCTTGCCCAAAGTAGCCATTGAGATGATAAAACACATTTTACAATGTCACCCAGCCAATTTCAGTTTTGAAATAAACTAAGTTTGTTTTCCCCCCTTCATACTTGATGATAGCATATACAAAATGGGTCAAGCGCACAAATATACAGTGAAAAACTAAACAAATAATCTTTCATCTCTTTAGCTCCATAATATGTAATATGTTCATGTCATACCTAATTTTAAAGCTCAGAACAACTGGAATTGTTTCTAATGTTCATGAATTGCTTTTAGAATGGTTTATTCATCTTTGGTTAATACTAGCGGGGTATGGGTCAGTTCAATCAAAGGTCACAGGTTCACATCCCAAAATATAAAGATAAGAGCTTAGTCTTATTTATTACAAATGTATGTCTGTTTCAAATTCAAGCTACTGTGTTTTTCAATTTGGAATTGGGTACCATGTGTATAATGCATATTTGTAAAGCTTTCCGTTAATTCACCAACATTAATTTAAATTATAATTAATGCATTATCTTAGAGTCCCTCGCCATTGCCATATGAATTATAGTTTTTACAGCACACATAGTTAGTAGCTTAGTCAATTACAGATTTAGTGAAAATGTGAAATAATGGTCTTGTTTTTGTCCTGTATGCTTCCAGTATGACTGGTACACTAAAAAGACATCAGTGATTGTGGATATTGTGAATAGGCCAGGAGAAGGTAAGTTTTCCTATTTATGTGCTATGTATTGTTTCCTGTTTTATGTCGCAGTTAATGTAATGTTTGTGTTGGTTTGTAGATGGCTTCACTGGTATCTATAGCACTCAACTGTCTCCTCAGTGCTGGTCAGCAGATAGCCAGCGTATCGTTGTTGCTAGTCCCCAGAGAAGTCGTAAGGTATGTCATTTAACTTCTGTATAGACGATACAAATTAAATGTATGTTATTTTTAAAGGATCTACTTGTGGTGGACATAAACACTGGTCTTGTCACTTCATTAACTTCAAGTAAGAATTTGTTTCCTACATATTGTTCTACATTGCAATCCAAACATTAAGTGTTAGTTATTTTCTAGACTCAGATGCAGGAAACTGGTGTCTGTTGAACATGGTTAGGGATTTGATGGTGGTCAGTTGCTCTTCCCCAAATCACCCTTCACGCCTGGTAGGACAAACTGGCCTTTTGTGTGGCTTTGCCTTTAAAACATAAACAAACAAAAAACATGTTGTACTCTTCTGCTCTGACTTTGTGAACATGTTTAGAGAGTGGGCTTCCTTCCGACGAGAGACGCTCAGGAGAAAGTGTCTTGGGTCACTCTGGAAAACGCTGATGTTTTAGAAGATATTGATTGGAAGACTCTGACTTTTACTCCTCCACCAGAGCAAGACAACGACCAATACTGTAAGTGCGAAGTCTCCCAAAACACTCAGGGTTACATAAGTATTTTACCAGAACATGTTTAAAATGTAGTTATTTGGTCTTTAACCCCATGAGTTGATGCTATGTCCTGTATTTTGTATTTAGCTGATCTTGATTTTGAAGCTATACTCATTAAACCTAAAGACGTGAAAGAAGGTGTAAAGCTGCCTCTGGTTCTAATTCCTCATGGTGAGTGTATTTAAGAATTTGTCCTTGATGCAGAAAACATGGAACTAATTTTTAACTATTCATATTTTTTTTATAATAATGCAGGGGGTCCTCACTCAGTTTTTATTGCGGATTGGTTTCTGTCTTGCTCCGTGATGTGTAGAATGGGGTTTGCTTCTTTACTCGGTGGGTAATGTAAGAAATGCCTTTTTCAAAAGTACATGCATGTTAACTTTTTCCCTGGAAATTTGCAGTGAATTATCGCGGGTCTCTTGGCTTTGGGCAAGACTGTGTACTCTCGTTACCTGGCAATGTTGGGACACAAGATGTAAAAGATGTCCATGTAAATCAACATTGTGGCAAATAAAATATGACCATAACTTTTTACAGTATTTTTACATGTAAGTTCCTTTTTGGTCTTTCAGTTTGCAGTGGAAAGTGTTCTACAGAGTGGTGACTTCGATCCCGACAAGGTGGCCGTGTCCGGTGGCTCTCATGGGGGTTTTCTGGCCTGTCACCTGATTGGACAATATCCTGGTTTCTACAAAGCTTGTGTAGCACGCAATCCTGTCATTAATATAGCATCGATGCTTGGCTGCACTGACATCCCAGATTGGTAAATTTAGCGATTCACAAACAACAACTGAAACTTGTTTTTTAATGTGGTGTTCCTCCTGCAGGTGTATTGTTGAGGCTGGCTTTGACTACAGCACAGACTGTCTTCCTGACTCTGCAGTTTTGGAACGAATGTTGAGCATATCACCAATTAAATATGTTCCAAAGGTGACCCATTATAGTCATACTTATATTTTTATTTGAACCCAGAGAGACTCAAATGCATTGCAGAGGGTTTATATACTCACAGAGGGCAAAGTACTGTAAATAGGCTCAATACCTTTACCCGATATTTCGCAATGCACTCTGATTCAAGACGACTTTAATTTGCTTCTCATTAAATTACCTGCTTTTTGGGACAGGGGGAGTTAGGCCTCCTCTTTTCTCTTTATGACCAGGGCCTGTTGAATGACACTTGAATTGACACTTAAAGAGGTATTATTCAACTTTGTATGTGAAATAAAGTTTTTCTGGAGGTCAAATATGCAAAAATATCAACATTTTGTAATAGTCAACATGGTGCTTTTCCATCATAGTGGTCTCTAGAATGCTATAGGATACGTTTTTGGGAAGGTGTTCTCTGCTGATTCACCCTCTAACCAGAAAACCTAAAAAACAATTTATCTTTGACTACTGTAGACACTAACAAGACACTGACCAAAAGTTAAGGCACCATGCTGGCCACTCTTACAGCCACTGCATAGTCAAATAAGCAAAAAATATATACTTTTTTCCCCCACATAAAAAGTTGCATAATGAGACAAAATTAGAAATTCTAGAGTAGTCTTCTGGGCTGAACCTTTGCCATACCTTCCGCCATTGTATCATTTCTAGTGTGGATTGTGTTGTTTATTTTCCAGGTGCAAACACCAGTGTTACTGACACTGGGTGAAGATGACAGGCGGGTCCCTAACAAGCAAGGCATTGAGTATTACAGAGCTCTGAAAGCAAAGCAGGTCCCAGTCCGGTAAGCTGTGCCTCTCTAAAGTGGGGAGTGACAAGAGAGGCTTTGTTCTGCTTAATAATACACTTGTATTTCAGGTTATTGTGGTATCCAGGAAATAATCACTCGCTCTCAAAAGTGGACGCAGAATCAGATGGCTTCATGAATATTGGTCTCTGGTTGATTCAGCATCTGTTTAAGGAAGTTTGATGGCTTTTTAAAGAGAGAAGAATAGTGCGCTAATCATAGTTTGCTTTTGTATCCTCTTGCAATTTCAAAATAATACTTTACCAAAGCCTTTTCTAAAGCATTATTTTAGCTTTCAAGTCTTGCTGCTTTTTTTAATGACAGAATTTTGAAAAAGCTATCTTTCAATAAAACCAAATGAGAAAGCTTATTTTGTCGTGTGAATTATTAAACCATATAGGAAAAGGGAAATGGGTAAAGGCTTTCACTTCTGTGTTTCTTTTAGATTCAGGTGACATGTGTGAATCATTTTACTGTAAATATCTGGCATATACATGAAACATTTTTAATCAATTAGTTAAGTTTAGTCTTTATTTGAAAAGGACAGTGCACTGCAACATTAAGCTCAATCACAGATATGTTCTGCGCCAAATTATAGCTACGCAGCTCATTTCCATCTGCAGTCCCTGGTTACATGAAACAAAAAATACAATAACATAAACCACACTCATATCTCACAGACAACACATCTCTCATTCACGTGATCATGTGAAATCACAAACCATAAAATCGACACATACATTTTACACTAGAGTCCACAAAAACATGTTCTTACACATTTATATAAATAGTTGCACATAGAGCCCACCTTTTGTGATCAGCTGTGTTTGCTCCAAAGCCACTTTTGGAGTTCAACTGTGAATCTGTTTAAGTTTTTAGGTTAATAATAATAATAATAATGCATCGGTTTTATATAGCGCTTTTTTGGACACTCAAAGACGCTTCACATGTGTCATTATTCATTCACTCCAAACACGGTGGTGATAAACTACTAATGTAGCCACAGCTGCCCTGGGGCACACTGACAGAAGCGAGGCAACCAGTATGTGCCATCGGCCCCTCCGACCACCACCAACCATTCACACACACACCAGACTCATTCTAGGCAACGGGGGTGAAGTGTCTTGCCTATGGACACAACGGCAGTTTGGCCCTAAGACATAATGACACTCCTAAAACTGAAACATAAACTGTCAAGTTTGTGCAAGAACTGAGGCAGTGCAATATTAGTCTTGTTAAATGTTCTTTATTTAACATTTAAGATTTTCAGATATAATCAGATACAATTTATTAAAAAAACCAAAGCATAGATTTGGACAGTCCCTTAAAAGTCACATGATCTGACATCAGATTGCAACACACATGTTTCCAGTTCACTCATCATCACACAGTGAGAAGCAATGAGGAATTGCTGATTCTCTTCTTGTCGCTCGTTTTGCACCACAAACTATGGTAAGTGTAAATTACTTTCATAATTAACATTTCTGGCTTATATCTTAGTGTTCTAACAAAATGTATGAGTGTTTAATCTTATGTAATGCACATCTCAGATATATGTCTTACTTTGGCAGCCTTGCACAGTCCTCTCAAGTCAATCTACATAACGACAAAATGTCATAAAGTGGGAGGAATGGACAACACCTTTTTTAAGATAAAAGCATATCTTGGATAAATGTGATTGGACTAAAACATTTTGTTTATTTAATCAAAAAATACTTTAGTCAAAGACATTACATGATATAGAAAAAACAACATTTTACCATCCAAATATCATAAATATTATTTTGAGTGTGCCCCTGTAGTTTTGGCTTCTGATTCACTTACTCAAACTATATGTGGAAACAATCTCTGCACAAAGGACCCAAATGGATGTTGGCTCTGATAGGCGACAGTAGTTCAGTTGGTAGAGCATTTGCCCTTTAACCAGAAGGTTGTGGGGTCGAGCCCAATTCTAGTCCTCCAGGTTGATTACGAGATCTTCAAAGATAAGTTGTGCGAGTTTAACCGGGTGCTACGTAGTACGAGAGAAAGGTATTTTTCTGAAATGATTGAAGGCTTCAGCAACAATCTGCGTGTTCTGTTTTCAACAGTTAATAGATTAACAAACCCCCCTGTTCAGATGCCATTAGAGCTAACTTCCAAACGTAAATGTAATGAGTTTGCACATTTTTTCAATGACAAGGTTCAAGGCATCAAAAACGCCATTGTCTCCAATCCACAGATAACCATCCAACAGCCAGAAAGGCTCTCTGAGCTAACTCACTTTGCACCTGTAAATGATCAAACTGTCCAAGAGATAATCACAAGTCTGAGCTCCTCCACTTGCAGCCTGGATGTACTACCCACTAGATTTCTGAAGTCTGTTCTGAGCAGTCTGTTACTTTCACTCACACAGATAGTAAACCCATCCATCCATCCATCCATTTTCTTCCCCTTAATCAATTTCTGGGTCGGGGGGGTGGCAGTCAGAGCTGCACCCAGTACACAGAGCACCAGCCCCTCACTGATCCTCCTGCAGGTGGTGAATCCACAGGAGCTGAGATCTTTCAGTGGGGGCTTCAGGCAAAGTGGGGTTAAGTGTCTTGCCCAAGGACACAACGACAGCAGTCATCAGTGGGAGTCGTGAAGTAGGTCTTGAGGTGGGCTCGAACCCACGACCTTCAGGCTCAAAGGCCAATGCTCTACCAACTGAGCTACTGTCGCCCCTAGATAGTAAACATGTCCCTTAATTCTGGAATATTCCCAAAGGCCCTGAAAACTGCAGTCATCAGGCCCCTGCTAAAAAAAGAGCATTCTGGATGCTACGATACTTAACAACTATCTGCCATTTATGGGGAAAGTCCTTGAAAAAGTTGTCTACCAACAGCTAAATAGATTTCTTATAATCAACAACTCATTTGATATGTTTCAGTCCGGCTTTAGACCCCACCACAGCACTGAGACTGCTCTCGTCAAGGTTACAAACGATATCCGGCTGAACACTGACGCAGGCAAAGTCTCAATCCTAATCCTGTTAGATCTAAGTGCTGCCTTTGACAATGTCGACCATGAGATCCTCTTACAGAGACTAGAGGACTGGGTTGGGGTCGCTGGCACCGCCCTAAGTTGGTTTACGTCTTACCTTGAAGACAGGAAGTACTTTGTGGAGATTGGAAACTGTGTCTCAGATCATATGGCCCTGACCTGTGGAGTACCACAGGGGTCAATCCTGGGACCTCTTCTGTTCAATCTCTACATGCTGCCGTTAGGTCAGTTAATACGCAGAAACGAAGTTTCCTATCATAACTATGCAGACGACACTCAGATCTATGTCTCACTCACTGCAGGAGAACATGGACCAGTGGACTCACTCCTTCACTGTATCCAACAGATCAGTGAGTGGATGCAAAACAACTTCCTTCAGCTAAACACAGACAAAACTGAAATGATTGTCTTTGGTCCCCAGAAACAAAGAGAGAGCGTCATCTACAGTCTCTCTCCCTAAAACCTTCAAACAAGGTCAGAAATCTAGGGGTAATACTGGACTCAGACTTAAATTTTAATAGCCACATCAAATCAGTAACATCAGCAGCTTTTTACCATCTAAAAAACATTGCCAGGATCAAAAACATAGTGTCTAAAGCAGACTTGGAGATTCTTATCCATGCATTTGTCTCCAGTAGGTTAGACTACTGCAATGGCCTGCTCACAGGTCTGTCCAAACAGGCTGTAAAACAGCTGCAGTACATTCAAAATGCAGCAGCTCGAGTCCTGACTAGAACCAGGAAGTACGACCACATTAGTCCGGTCCTCAGGTCCCTGCACTGGCTTCCTGTGGCTCAGAGAATAGACTTTAAAACAGCTCTGCTTGTGTACAAATCTCTCCATGGCCTAGCACCAAAATATATTAGTGACATGTTAGTCCCATATGAACCAGCCCGGACTCTGAGGAGCACAGGGACTGGACTCCTGTTAGTGCCCAGAGTCAGGACTAAACATGGGGAGGCTGCTTTTCAGATTCATGCTGCTAAAATCTGGAACAGTCTTCCTGAAGATGTGAGACAGGCCTCCTCTCTGACAATGTTTAAAACCAAGTTAAAAACGGTGCTGTTTAGCTGTGCATACAACTGAGGGATTTTATATTTTTATCTTTCTTTCTGTGATTATTTATGATTTTAATGCTTTCTTGTTTTGTTCAGCAGTTTGAGTTGCCTTGTGTATGAATTGTGCTATACAAATAAACTTGCCTTGCCTTGCCTAGTCTTTTACCATTGACTCCGAATGACTACTGTCGTGTCCTTGGCAAGACACTTAATCTCTGGGAACACCTATTATAGTGGTTTGATTGGATTAGTCCAACCTGTTTCCCAGAATGTTCTGAATGTGAATCTGTTAATGAGAGCAGAGTCGGGTTTACAGTATTTTAAATTTTAAGTTGACGTTTTAAGTACTTGAATTGGACACTTTCATTGAACCATTTTGCCGGTCCACTGTGAATTTAAGCGAAAGAAATGCAACACAAGAACAAATAGGCTGGCTGTTATGCATTATTACAAATCATTGACTGTATTAAAACAATGTTTTTCTTTTTCTTTTAGGCTCTGTTGCCCTCACTTTTGTTTCTGGGACATCTATCAATGGTTTGGACCATAAACATGACCTTCTTCCCGTGTGACCTTAAAGGCAATGAAGTAGACTGCTCCCACAGACTGCTCAATCAAATGCCCTCATTTCACTCGAAAAAAATAACACTGCTGGATTTGAGTTATACTCAGATAAGAACCCTCCACCAGCATTCGTTTCAAGATGTTCCGAACCTCCGGGTTTTAGGAATAAATTGTATACCAACTTGTCAACAGCAGAAGCCATACCATTTGGAAATTGATTATCTCGCTTTCAGAACTCTTCAAAAGCTTGAAAAGCTCAGTCTTTGTGGAAACAGCCTGTCATCTCTCCCCTTGTTACCAGAAAGCTTAAAGATTTTGGATGTGCAAAATAACAACCTATTTCGCATTGACAGCCTGAAAGCCCCAAATCTTGAGATACTTTTTCTTTCTAAGAACTGTTTTTATGCCAATAATTGTAATCAGTCGTTTCATATAAGTGAGAAAGTCTTAAAACATTTAACCAAGCTAAAAAATCTTACATTGGCATACAATAATCTAAAAACAGTTCCCAAAGGATTGCCTTCATCCTTGTTAAATCTTCAACTACAGGAGAACACTATTGAAAAAATTCCAAACAACTCATTTGAAAATTTGACCAAACTGGTTTCTCTGAATTTGGAGTGGAATTGCCAGCGCTGTGATCATGCAGTGAGACATTGCTATCCTTGTCCAAATAATGCCTCTTTACAATTATACTCACATTCACTATTTTCTAAAAATAGTTCACTTTCCTATCTCAGCTTAAGAGGAAATTCCTTAAAGGGGTTTCCCGATGGAATATTTACACCTTTAAAAAAGTTGAGAGTTTTGGATTTGTCTGACAATCTTCTTGCCCCTGCAATTCAAAATGGTACCTTCTTTAGAGAGCTAAGAAACTTAAAGTGGCTGAGCATTAAGTTTAACTATGAACCGAAAATAACATACTCTGAACTTAACTTTTCACCACATCTTGCTGACGTATCACGTCTACGCACTTTGTTCGTAGATGGGTTTTTTTTCCGAAAGTTGTCAAATGAAAGCTATAATGTTCTATCCCGACTTCACAATCTAGCATTTCTCGGTTTGTCCATGAACTTTATCAACAGCTGTGATATGACGGCTCTCAGCAGATTATCATCAATCAGAAGCATTGATATTTCACAAAATATGCTTACAGGCACCACAGGATTGTGTCAAAAGCCACAAGAATATTCACTCTTAAAACCCTTTGTGCAGATTGAAAGGCAAGTCCACACGGTCCAATATAGCGCTCAACAGGATCTGTCAATATCAAAGTTTTTCAGCATAAAAGGCTTTAGGAGAGAGATCTGCAATAATGGTCTGACATTTAATCTATCTGCAAATGATATTCTATTTCTGGACAAAGATCTGTTTGAAGGCATGGAGAAAGCGGTTTGCATTGACCTTTCTTTTAATTATATGAATCAAGCAGTAAAGAATGGATTATTTCCGAACTTGACTAAATTGACTTATCTTGATTTGTCATACAACCGATTTGATCTTTATTACAGTGGTTCATTCAGTGAACTTAAAAACACCCTTAAAGTGTTGGACCTTAGTAATAATAATTTTCATTTTAATTTAAAGGGCATGGGTCATAGTTTTGAATTTCTGGATAATTTGACAGAATTAACAGCTTTGAGTTTAGCAAACAACAACATTGGGATGCGTATTAGTAAGGAGCTTAAAAGTAGCTCTTTAAATTACTTGTATTTCAGTGGAAATCACTTGGGATTTATGTGGGTATCAAACAATGATAACTACAACTATTTTTTTCAAAATTTGAAAAATCTAACATTTCTTGATATTTCTTCAAACAGCATAATAAACATTTCACCAGTAATCTGGTGTAACTTCCCAAAAAGCCTTACATATCTAAGAATCAGCTGGAATGAACTAACCAGTTTTCCATGGGAATACCTACCCACATTGCTCCACTTAGAATACTTAGACCTAAGCCATAATCGCATTCAAGACTTGCCTCTAAAGATAGAGTTTGGAAACAATTTTTCCACTTTGGACCTCAGCTACAATAAGATTGGCTTCATCCCTGACCTCTTCTTTTCAAACATATCATTGCAATGTCCTCGAGGTTTCTCACTGTACCTCGATCACAATCAAATCAAGGAATTTAGTCAGGATCCGTTCCAATCTCAAATCAAAAATCTTACCCTTCGCAAACTCACTCTTCATCACAATCCTTTTAGGTGTGACTGCGGCACAGCTTGGTTTGCAGACTTCTTGAGTACAACTACAATAGATATTCCTTATCTTACCACATTTGTGCAGTGTGGATATCCAGAGTCGCAACAACATAAACCTATGCTCTACTTGGCTGGACAAAGCTCCTGTCAGGACATTTATGGTCGGCTGGCTTTCCTTGTGTGTTCTTTCCTGTGGATTTTGTTGACAGCTCTTCCCTTGCTCAATCATCTCTACAGCTGGGACTTGTGGTACAGTTTCCAGGTGCTGTGGGCTGGATACAAAGGCTATTCTCGGATAGCAGGGAGTGACTCCAAACACAAATATGATGCTTTTGTGCTGTTTGACACAAAAAATCCAGCTGTGAGAGACTGGGTATACAACGAGTTAATTTTTCATTTGGAAAAGACAGAGCACCGGAGATTTGGCCTCTGTTTGGAAGAGAGGGACTGGATTCCAGGATTGTCATGTATTGAGAATCTTCATAATGCAGTCTACAAAAGTGTGAAGACTGTGTTTGTCCTGTCCTGTGGAGGAGACACAGCAAACGGAGTGATACGTCAGGCTTTTTTCATGGTTCAGCAGAGACTTCTGGATGAAAAGGCAAGGATATAAATTGTAAAGCAGTATTCTTAACAGTGTATATGGCATCTAATATTTTGCCCCTCTCAGGTAGACTCAGCGGTACTAGTGCTGTTGGACGACATGTTTCCGAAAGTCAAATATCTACAACTGAGACAGAGACTGTGCAAGAGATCTGTTTTGACCTGGCCGAAAAACCCAAAGGCTCAACCTTTATTCTGGAATCATATGAGGGCAGCATTATCTTCAGACAACCTCAAATTGTATGACAAGAAAATGGCTGAAAGTTTTGCATAATTATTGTTTACTGTTACACTATGCACATGTCTCAAAAGATGTTTCTCAATTATTTCTATTCCAAATATATACTTTATACACATGATATATACATGATGAAAGTAAAAGGCAAACTTCCACTGACCTATTGAATAAACAAGGTTAAAACCATGTTTATCATGATGATGTGGTGTGGTTTCCCTGTTGTAAGTATGTAATCTTTATTTATATACCGCCTTTCACAGACCAGAGTCACAAAGCGGTTTACAATTGTTATTTTTTGTGTGTTTGTGTTGTTGTGTTTGCTATATAACCTTGTATTACTCATAACATATTACTCATAACATTTGTGGTGTATCTATACGACTAGATATTGGTATGGTGTATATTTGTATTACAAAATTAAAGTTTGTAAATTGTATTTTGCTCTTTTGAATTCTTGAGTACTTTCCTCCAGAACAGGAAAATAACAGTTACTGTGTGTTCAACGGACTTGGTCTGGTTGTTTGAAATACTTCAAACAATACATAGTTTTCTCTCAAAATAATCGCACACATTTAGAAAACAAAGCAAATGTACTGCACCAACTAATTTAAATATTCACTCTTGCACTGAATTACTTAAAGAGAACGTATAACCCACGACACTGCAGGCAAACGCATCAGCGTTTGAGATTGAAAGGGCAGATCACCTCACGCACGCGCGTTAGTGCACGCGTCAGCGGGAGCGCGCTGATGCTGCTGGGCGCGTGAAAGTGAGCGCTAAAAGATTCTCAACTTTACTGGCTCCTGTCCCGTGCGGGTCCCTCGGTGTGGTGGCCCCTCTGTACTGCGGGCCCTACTGGCGGTCCGTCTGTAGCCGTCGTTACTGGTCAGCAGCACGGACACAGACGGTCCAGTGCAGAGGCTACAGGTCACACAGATTACATCATGAATCTGGATGATGCAGATGTGCCACTTCGATGACCACTCCGTATGCACAGGTGAGTTACGTGAGAATGACGTTTAACATGATATGTATATGATGTACTTTTATTCTGAGTAAAAGATTAGTGAATTATGTAATGTAGTAGCTTGAACCAAGCTCAACTTCCCGGCCATAGCCATGTGTTTGAGTAAGAAACTAATCCTTTATGGCGCGGTTGTAGAGATGGACAGCCTGTCATTTCACATGTCCCAATGTCCCAATGTCCTAATGTCCTATTGTCCTATTGTCCTATTGTTATTGTCCTATTGTCCTGACTGGTGGAGGCGTCTCTTTCGCAGTTGTCTGTGACTGCGGTCACTCGTGTTGTTAGCCGTCGACTGTTGATATAAATCTTTGTTGCAAGCAACATCTCTTGCTCAAAAATATCTGAAATGTAATATTGAAATTTAAAAGGTTCCTAAATGACTTGTAGTTCTAGTTTATCTCGATGGACGTTAGGTTATACGTTTTCCCTCATTGAACTCAACTTTGCAACCAAAATATAGGCTGATTTTCAGATAGAACTCTGCAATATGTTAGGACAATAATCATCGTAGTCTATACATTAATTATACTCATGTGCGACTGCACTACATTCAGAATGGGTTTGACTTAATGGATGTAATAACACAATGTTATTATGACTGACAGACATCTCCAACCAATCTCTCAGTTGTATCACGTGCAGTGATTCCCTGCACCCAATCCTCTTGGATTAGAGGAGGGATTATGATTTGGATTTCCCTATAGTTTCTGTGCCACCATTGCCAATGGTTACTATAAACAAGGGTATTTTATTTTCATAAGCATTATTATTTATGATTTTTTTTGAACCACAAGATCTAGCCAGATTTGTGTATACATAGTTTGCTTAAATATGAGGCTGAACCATTTATAGCTCAATATATAAAAGTTGTGTTCGGATTTGAATTCACTAGTAAGCGTGTCTATTTAACTATGATTTGATTTGTTTTTTTTCCTCTCTTACAGATACCATGATGTCACATTCAAAAAAGCCTATGCCATCTCTGCCTCCAATGTCTCCAAATGATGAGTATAATCCAGTAGCCTATCATGCCTAGAACAATGGGCATATTTGGCATTCAGTTGGTGTATGAGGCATGAGGCCTTAGCCTCATGAAATGTCTGAATGCTTTAATTGGATCAATTTTACTTCCATACTAAAATGCCTTTAAATATTAGAGCCAAACCTGCTCAGAGCAAGCTGTCTGCTCTTTCAAAGAGTAGCGGACATGCTACTACCAGTGTTCCCCATGCTCGCTTTTCAAAAACCCCTAAGCATGCAAAAGGTAAGACTTCAACCTCCACCCCAGGCTGCCGCTCAGGTCTCGAGCCAGGCTCAGTGTCTGGGGGAATGCCTGGTTCAAGCTCTAGACCAGCTGCACCAGGGTCGGTGTCAAGATCCAGTTTGAAATTGAAACAGAGCACAGCACAAGACAAGCCGACCAACCACAGCCTGGCCACTGGTCCAGTAGGGAAGACCATCTCTGTTGAAAACATACAGTCTTTAAGTGCAGCCTATGCCACTGCAGGCCCAATGTATCTCAGTGACTGTGATCACTTGGAGCAACCTGGATATCCTAAAGGCATTATGACTGTAGGGCGGAGCATGAATCACTCTAACTCGAGTCGACCAGCAGCATCCGGCAGCAGCCCCAACATAGCCTCCTCTGGATCACCGCCACGATCCAGCCATTACGACCCGGGAACACAAGGCACATATAGTTTACAGCGTCAATCTGGGAGGCATCCACAGATCCTGCAAGTGTCAGATGAACGAGGGGACAGCTCTACCCTTGATCTACACACTCAGCTGAGAGAACTGAAGAGAGAAAATTATCACCTAAAGCGAGACATGGATATGGGAGGAGAAGAAAGACATGGTCCGAACACAAACATTGTCAGTATGTGGAGCAACTCTGATACAAAACAAGGCAGAGGGCTCAATCGAGAGGATAGAATGAGAGGCCAGTATAGGAACCACCACGACCAGTACAAGCACCCTGAGGAAGAGCAGGTGAAATGTTATGTTGAAGATGTTTGTCAACTTTCTGTTGTCTCTTCAACTTTGCACGATAAACATACCTTGCATGCCACATTAGATAGATATATACTTTATTAATCCCCATTGGAAAAAATCACGTGTCCAGTAGCAGCAGAATTACATCCATACATACAAAACAAAATTACAAGGTGTTTGTCATCTTAAAAAGCTAAAGTCAGAACATATCTCAATCATCTCGTGCTGCATCCTTAATTATTGTGCGCACAATGATGGGAAATAAAACACTGTATATAGCTATTCCACAATGTTACTGTTTAAGTCAAACCAAAGGATTGTCTGTTTATTATGTTCTATCTCACCTCCCACTTCTCTTATCTTTGTTATTTTTCATTCAAACTTTTTCATGGTATTTGCCCTTTTTGACAGCTTGGCATACAGGTCTACTTACTCATTAGCATAGAAAGTGTCACCTTTTCCCTCAGCTGTATTTTCTCCCTTCTGCAAGTTGTCCTCCATCTGTTTTATCTTTATCTGACTGTGTATATATACATTGTCCTCCCACACATACATTGATAACATATTTATCCATATGTTGAACAGACATATCAGATCACATTGCTGCTTGTGATGAACACATTTACGATGTGCTTTGTCATGTAAAACTGTGCTTTTAACCATATATCATACATTTCTCTGCATTTCTTATTGTTTTTCATACCCATCTTTCATCCTGCCTCTGCTGCAGCTACCTTCAGTCCTTCCCTTGGTCTTTCCTTCACTTTCAAGATAAATGTCGCCTTCTCCTGGTTCAAGGTGGTAACCATATATACCATATTTATTATTTTTGGATGGTGTAGTTCAGGGGTCTCTCACCTGTATTTTGGTTAAAAAATTATATTGCACTGTTATCATTGCACAGCCATATGTTAAATGACAAACATTTTGCCGTAATTAAGAGACAATATGTTTATACTGACCAGACCACTGATTAGTATAAGTATTAGTATTAGTATTAGTATTTCATTTCAACATTTCAATAGTGTTCTCTCTTTCTCCAGGTTCTTCAGTCAGTGGCAATACAAAAAAACAAGGTTTGTTTCAAGTAACTGTTTCATCATACTTAAAACTGAACAATTAAACATACAACATTTCTATATACTGTACATATTTTCTATTCCATTTATATATTTTGTTTCAGATCCCACTGACAGTCCATGAGCTTCAAGAGGAGATTAGAGCACACAGAGAAATGAACAGTCGTTTGAAGCATCAGCACCCAGAAAACTGCAATTCACAACGAGACGTCCATTTGGACCAACAGCACAAAGGGGACCACAGCCCTGGCCCCAGTCCCAGACATAGCCCTAGTCACCTCCACAGCCTCAGTCTAAAGAAAAATCCCAAATCCAGTCCCTCGAACACGATGAATTTAAGACCACAAGAGGCAGACATTATCATCCACAGCCCTGCCTATGAATGTAGTCCAGTAGGGTCTGCCCAAAGGATTACTCCATCCACTGCCCTACATTCAGGGCCGAGGAAAAGTCCCAATTCAACTCTTTACAGCCAGAACCATGAGTCAACTTCAGCACGCAGCCAGATCTACCAGCAACCCTTCAGTCCTTGTCAGGTGCCAGGCTGTGATGGCTGCACTTCTCCCCCTCCTCAGGGCTCGTCTGCCGAGAACTACTTCCGCTTGCAGTCAGAGCATGAACGTCAGGCCAAAGAGGTGTTCATGCTTAAGGAAACCATGGAGGAGATGGAGAAGAGAATTGACTCTCAGAAGCAAACGCTAGGAACCCGGGATGAGAGCATCCAGAGGCTGCTAGAGATGTTGCAAGGCCAGAATCAGAACCACAGGACCAGGGGGCAGAGGACTGGACTTATCTCTGTGGCCACTCAAGAGGCTGAAGCCCAGCTAGAAAATATGCAAACCAGAGAGGTGAGTGTGTTTTTAGTTGACTTTAATAGCTGTAAGTTTGTGTTAGCCCTCAGTCGTACAGGGATTAGTCAAAGCAAAGGAAGGTTTCTCACCCATCATCTGTACTTCTTAGCAGGTTTTCCCGACGTTTCGTCCTCAATCCAAAGGACTTCTTCGGAGAATGAATTCTCAGACTGCGCGTTGGAGATTTATAACCTATGGGTGTGGTTAGCCACACCCTAATCCTGATACTAACTCATAAACAATCTAAGGTCTGTTTGATGTAGAAGGGAGCAGATCTAACGACCCTGCTGAGGCTAATGACCCTAACTCATTAGCATGTCACAGACCTTGTCCCAAGTTACGGCGTTGTTTTTAGGATGTCGTCATAGATGCGAGGCAAAACAAATCTTAACCCTCCTCCTCTGTTAAGAGAAGGTTTTTGTTTGGCTTCTTTAGAAGCCATTTTTGTGAGGAACACAAAACACAAAACCTTCTACATCAAACAGACCTTAGATTATTTATGAGTTAGTATCAGGATTAGGGTGTGGCTAACCACACCCATAGGTTATAAATCTCCAACTCGCGGTCTGAGAATTCATTCCCTGAAGAAGTCCTTTGGATTGAGGACGAAACGTCGGGAAAACTTGCTAAGAAGTACAGACGATGGGTGAAAAACCTTCCTTTGCTTTAATAGCTATATTTTGTAAACTCAACAAACAAGTGACTATAGATGTTTGTGAAGACAAGGCCCTGTACTGTTTGCCTTTGATGACTCATTTACTCTAATTATAAGTGGGAACAATCTCTGCTCAGAGAAAGATCAAACTCAAATTTCTGCCTACAGTTTCTTTATACATTTAAATTAGGGTGTGAGGAGCTAGTGCAGCTGCTGCAAATTTCACTGAGAATGAGATTTAGGGACCTGTTATAAAGACAAAGGGCATATTTTTTAGCATTTTTTGGGTTGTAGTTCAGACTGGTTCTGTTTCATGTGAAATAAGATGAATCTTTATTTTGATCATTCACATTTACAGGAGTTTGATGGTAATATTTTATCAATAGGCTGGCAAAAATCCAGTAAAGTCCGGTGGTTCCAGACTTGATATATTGTGTCCTTAATAAAATTACACAATATTTTATTTGAGTGTAGTCAAATGAAAAGAACATTATTATTTGCAGATTGTTTAAAGTTACTTGATTGTCTGATTTCTTAATCTGATGCTTTTTTCGGTGAAGTCATTATAGTATGATTTAAGTTGAATACTGACGATCATCCTCTGCAAGGTTCCAAGTAATTGACATAACACATTTTTTTATTGACGCAAATTTCTTTTTAAATACAGATTCATCAAATTAAAATAAATCAAGAATATTTTTTTGATATTTCTCTTCATTGCTCATGCCTTGCAGCCCTGCAACCACTGCAACTGCAGCACTGGTTGTAAAATAACTGTATAAAAATAATAAAACATAATATATACAATAATTTACATAGTAACAAGGCTGCCTATTTATGGTTTCAGCTCCGTATACCACCATTTGTCAATAACACAGTTTGAAGCATCTCACCAACGAACACACCTGGTATTCTCAGTAGTCTCACATCCAAGTACTAACTAGGCCTCCCACTGCTTAGCAGTAATGTCCACTTACATTACGCATTCATATGAGCCTTAGAAGAGCACAACAATATAAAAAGTTGGGTGTATGCTTTCAAAAAAACATTTCCTTAACCTTTTTGTTTTCTATCTGACACCTATGCTCATCAGTTGTTGCTCTTTCTGTGACTGAACAAACAAATCATTTTAGTGTTTTGATCCTGGGAATATAAGAAATGTGAGTTATTACGCTCAGTGCTGATGGGCTGCGGCTGTATTCTTGACCACTCTTCTCACCTGTTTATTTTTAACTCTTAAATCTTCTTAGCCTAGACTTTCTCTGCCACTCTCTGAGAACACGTAGCACTAGCTGTCTAAGGGTTGTCTTTAAAATGGTTTCTTATTTTCCTACAATGATTCCCATGCATGGGTCTCATAGACATTGCATATTTGTATCAATAGCAATGCCCAGTTCTCTTTACTCTCTTTTACTTTGTGTCATGTTTGGGGACTTTTCTCACATGCTTTTGCTCAGGGGATCTGAACCTTTTTTTGGTGAGTATTTCTACAACAACCTGATTCTAAAACTGCTGATCCATTGCATTGTTCGTTGTCTTTATTGTGCTGTTGGCTGAGTCATGGAATGTTGTTGCTTAGAGCGTATTCTTCATGTTGAGGAATAGACACTTGACACTTGTTTCATCTGGAGCAATTTGTGTGAGTGAAAAATATTATTTTTATGTAGAGTTAGGCGATTACTTTGTGTTTGGTTATAATTGTGGATACTTTTTTTATTAGATGATTTCAAGATAGAATCCAATGTTGCAGTACTTTTATTGGTCACTTGGAGGCAGTGTTTGACTATAATTCACACTACCTTTATTGAACGCAGTACTTACCTGTTGCCCACGAATTGAGGCGTAAATTTGGGCCTCAACCACACTCCCCACTCTCTTTGGAGTTTAGACTCAATGGAAACAGCTGTTTCTCTGCTTTGGCCAATATAAACTATTCACCTGTCTTCTTTTGATAAACATTTCACTTCTTAACACATTGTCAAAAATGCTTAAATAATTTTCTATAAAGAGCACAGTAGAATTCCCTTTTATTCTTTATCCAGGCAATGGCATTTCTTAACAATCATGAGCTTATTCTCTCTCTCTCTCTCTCTCTACTTTATATTTTTTGTAAGAGATTCACTCAAACATTGTCAGAAGAAACCATAGTGATACAATTAATTATTGAAGAAAGATCGTAGGCGCATGTGCCGACAGAAAGTGTTGCTAAGCAAAAGCATTTGAATGCCAGAGACATCTGAGACAGATGGAGAAAACATGCGATCAGATGTCAAAACAGAGTCAGGTATGTTTAATCCTTCGCTCTGGTTGTGTCCACTCCAAGAAGAGATGCAAACACCTGTTATTTGGAAGAGTCTTTGAAAGAGTCCCGTTACCCAGCTGGATTACAAAATGAGTCCAGTTATGTGCTGTCAAGACGGGTTTACAGCTTGAAAGTGTAGAAGAAGAGCCGGGTGCAGGATCTGGTGTTTTGAGTCTGTGGGAGTCCGTGTGAAGATGATGAACCGTCAAGCTTATTTTTACCGAGTTCCTCCGCAGGAGCTTCATCGTCGGAACCAGCTCCAGGCTGAGCCGCTCAAAACCAGGGCTCTACAGCCGATCATCGATATGAAGGTAGGGCAAACTAGGAAAGCCTTGGCCAGGTCATCACCAAGGAGTGCTTTTAAAGCAATCTCAATGTTGGACATGCTGGTGCAATTGTCTGAGATAGATGTGTTTTTGAAGTTTGTGTTAACACCAATATGGTTAAAGTGAAAGTGGGTAGAGAATAAGCCAGTTAATCCAGACACAAACACTCATGTAACCCTTAAGAAACATTGTTTCATTGCTCTCTTTTATCTGAATGGCAGCCATGCCCAAATGAACACTATTATTGGCCCATGTGGAGCCCAGCACTTATTCAATTTGTTTCAAATGTCACATATGGAAGCTTTCACTCTCTTCTGAAGCCTTTGAAGTTGTGAGAGCTGTGAAACATGCAGTTGACTCTACATACATCTCTCTAACTCTATAACTGTTTCATTCATCACCACTTGTACAATAAGCTCCTCCCTTGCAGTTAAACCCACATACTGTATTTATATATTTTAACTCAACGTATTGAAATAAATAATTGATGAGAAAGATGACAACTTATTTGTAATTAGCAAATAGGCAGAATAATAAAAACACAAGGTGTGTTAGTCTAATAATTATACATCTATTTTTCCATGTTTATTCTAATTACAGACCACCAACCCATCATTCTGTTTTGACCCAGAGGTTGTTTGGCAGGTAACAATTGTTTGTTGAGTCTTAGCATGCACCTTATTTTGTTTGTATGTGAGCTCTGCGTTATATTTGCATGCTTTGTTTGGAAAATGTAATTTCTTTTTACTCCTCAATCACTGTTAGACATGCATGTGTCCAGTAGCAGAATGGCTGCAGTGATCTGAGGTGAATATACTGTAGGGATGAAGCTTGGTCATTTATTTAAAATACATTTCTGGATACTTAGCAACCTATCGATTGTTGAAGTTGTGGCAAAATACAGACCTATTCGGCTGTATGTGCACACATCTGTTGTCTGTCTGCTCTTTGTCTAAATCCAATCTTTCTCAAACACATGACACATACTGTATCATTTAAAGCTTTACCTGTTGATGCTCAGTCAGTCCATCACTGATTCTTTTTGTTGCTGGTTCAGGACACCAAAATCTCTTCCCTGGAGAGGAACATGAGGGATTTAGAGGATGAGGTCCAGATGTTAAAGACCAGTGGCCTGCTGCACCCTGACGACAGGCAGGATGAGCTCAAGCAGGTGGATGTCTACAAGAGCCATTCTAAGTTCATGAAGACTAAGGTAGACTTCCCAAGCAACCAAATACTATTGTGTATTATACTATACGTATAATGTTTGAAAAAATAAATGTTTGAAAGCATGCTAATTGGTTTACTAAAGTTATAATACAGTAAATTGTGAATGTACAGATGTGCTTGAAGGTTTACACACCAAGGCAGATTTTTGTATATTTGATTGTGAATTATATTTTCACTCCTTATGAGGGGTTTGGTGAAGCCAATGATTGACAAATAACTGAATGAAGAAACTGCAGTTCTCAAATAACCCTGATTAGAAGTTTCCATCCCCAAGTTCTTAGCAGCATGCATTGCCCCCGTCTATGGCAGCTTGGAGTCTTGTGGTAGTTGTGGATGAACTTCTTCATTCTCTCTGATGGTAAAGCTGCTCAAACTTATTGGCAAAAAGCCTCCAGTTCATTTTCAGGCCACCTTGCATGAACAGCACGTTTGAGATTTCTCCAGAGCGGCTCAACGATATTATAACTTGTATTCTTGTGTTTTCATTCATCCATCCATCCATTTTCTACCCTTTAATCCATTTCTGGGTCAGGGGGGTGGCAGTCAGAGCTGCACCCAGTACACATAATCAGCCCCTCACTGATCCTCCTGCCGGTGGTGAGTCCACAGGAGGATGGCTGCTCTCTGAGTGTGAGCATAGCCTTGATCTTTCAGTGGGGGCTTTGGGCAAAGTGGGGTTAAGTGTCTTGCCCAAGGACACAACGACAGCAGTCATCAGTGGGAGTCGATGGAGAAGGTGCAGAGGTGGGAATTGAACCCACGACCTTCTGGCCTTAAGGCCAATGCTCTACCAACTGAGCTACTGTCGCCCCTGTTTTCATTCATAATCCATAAAATAGATTCAGATTCATATTATTTGTCATTTGTAGTGAAACCACATTGGAGTCCCCAGCGTGCAAAAGACAATTATACAAAAAAAAAAAAGCTCAAAAGTACAAGAATAAAACAAGCTAAAAAGTACAGCGAACTATTATCACAGTGAAATCAATCAACAAAAAACGGTTTCAATACATATCCAAAGAACATTAAAGTGCTTTGTTCAAACTGATAACAGCTTGTGCCGAATATCTCGTTTTGCATTTAGCAACAAACAATAAATACAGTTTATAGGAAGAAGCTGGAACATGGCTTTTCTAGGATGGCCAGAACAAATGATTTTGGCTGAATAAATTGCATTTGAGCCTGTTTACATTAGTATAGGTATATATTGCCTGTTTTACTGTCATTATTTCCCTTAATACGTCTTAACATAAAACAACTGCAATTTTATATTTATACGTTGGCCTGTATTTGCATGTTTTGATTTGCCTTACATTTTTGGAATAAAGACATCATCTGCTGTTTTCTCTGTGTGAGGTGAGACACTCATCCTATCAGCTTGCTTTACACAGTGTCTTTTTACAGGTCTATTATCAGCTGTCAAAAAGAGCTTACAAAGGCTAACTAAAGTTCCCAACCACCAAGACCTCAAACTTTCATACTTGTGTTGAGTTTCTAGTTGCATAGCCGGGATAGCTGAAACTGCATGTGAAAATGTACCCCTGGATTTATTAAAAGTACTCTTTGTGTGCCATCAGGGCATTTGTCAGTACAGCGAGGAAGTTCCTGATGCAATCATAAAAGAGATGTTTTTGTGAATGGGTCCGACTGACAGGTTAATGTGGGGTCGCAGAAACAGAGGACAGAGCTCTCTCCTCACCTGTTTTGACCTTGCCCAGAATGCATCACTCAGGCCGCTTTGCTCGGCTTGGTCTCAGCTTTCTACATACAGTCCTCCAGAACCACTATGGCCTATAACCTACATATCCATTTCATATGCTCTAAATATTTTAATTATTGACGGTTGCTCATGGTGGTGAATTCTACTTCATAACAGGGTCAACCTACTTTACTTTTAGAAAGCTCTGCTGCAACATTTAGTATAGGACCATAGCAAATGCTGTTGCTATGACTATGACATAGGAAATGTATTGTTCCTAATTTGATTAAAAGGACCTCGAGAATCAACCTATTGTCTTGTTCCAAGTTGTGGGAAGAAGAGAATATTCCAGTCTTGTCCATGTTATAGTTATGGAACTCTGAGCAAACTAGAATCATCATGAACTTGTGTCAAATAGAGGATGGCAAGAGAATGATACATCTTTTTCCAAGAAAGAGAGGCAGACTAACCTGCACCAATTCACTTGCTTTAAATATAGGTTGTGATCATGAATTATACATAAAGTTTCCTGTCACTCGAGGGAGTGTGGGGTGTTGTCTGCATTGGCAGCAGGCTCTGTGTCCTGACTCGAAGCCCCCTCTCTTCTTTGTGTCTTTAGGAGCGGACCTTGTCTCCGTATGTGTCTCAGAGCTCCATCAGACCAGCTTCCACCTTCCCCTCCACACAACCCTGGATCACAGAGCAACCAGAAGTACCCCATCCTCATTATTTCTTTAGTTTACATTTCCTTCACCCCCCTCTAATTTATATAATTTGTTATGGTCCTATACTAAATGTTGGACCATTTCCATCATCCAGGGTCTTTAGTACCTCTAATAACCACTCCCGCGTACCCTGTGTCTTCTATTACACTGTTTTCTCTCTTGGGTTCTGAATCTGAATGTACTTTCCAGTTTTCGTCGCAGTCAAGAGTTCCCATGTCTTGAGGTGACCACTACTTACACAATCAGACAAATCTCTCCAAAAATCAGCCTTGTGCATATTTGGCACCAGTAGACAGATGACAATCTTCAGCACATAGCCAGCCCCAGTGCAGAAACCTCCCACAGTTAGTGCATTTGATTTCCTTTGTGGCTCCTGACCTGCTCTGCAGTTTATGTTGTTCTTTTTAATGTGTTTGCTATGAAAGTGCACATAGGTTTTCTCTGTCTTTTTGGTTGGAAGCTGCTTTTAAGTCGTTCCGGGGAAGTTGAAAAGTTTAACTATGATTTCAACTATAGATTGAAAGACTATAAATGCAGCCAATCCAGCATTTTTACATTTGATACTGACCCTGATAATTTTGCTTTCAGCATGTTTCTCAACATCTGTCAATAGACAATATGAATAGGAACTAAATAAAATAAATGTTCTTCTTATTGTAAAATGTGCCCAATTGTGGTTTTAACTGCTGCTTCTCCTATTAGTAACTAATGAACAATCAATTCAATCAATGATGTGAAACCAATACCCAATTCGACAAAGTTTCCAAAACAGCACAAATGTCCGAGACCAGTATTGTATTAGTGCAGACAAATCAATAATGTAAGTGAAAAATAACACAGCTCAGTTTTTCAATGCAACATGATTGATTCATGTGCTGTTTAACGTGACACTGTATTTATTGTATAATAATAAATATAATAAATAGAAGCATTTTGTCGGAGTGATATTGAAGATGAACGGTCGCATTTCACAGTGGCGTGCATTGATCTACATTTGTTTTATTCCATTTTTAATCAACTCTTGCTTGTTTTATTTTTCAGATTGAGCACCTGAAACAAGAGTTGAGCAAGAAGGAGACAGAGATGCAAACTTTACAAACCAAGCTGGAAACTCTAACCAATCAGAACTCGGACTGTAAGCAACACATTGAGGTGCTGAAGGAGTCGCTCACCGCCAAGGAGCAGCGTGCCAACACTCTTCAGACCGAGGTGAGGAACCGCTTTCAGAAGGAAAGCTACTGCACTTTGCTGGAGACCTGTGTGTTGTTGTTCATATATGGACACAGTCAGGTCCAGTATATGAAAACAGCATTTACAGATTTGGAAATGTATTTTGAGTCTCCCAGTAGAGTAAGATCCAGAGACTATGGACCATCATTAATGCAGGCAATAACTAGGGATGAAATAAGCTAATTGACCAGTGCAAGCTTTTTAGTTCAATACTTATTTAATTGGGTGAGGGTTAGAGATATAAGAGTGTATTACATATACAAATAACAATCGAATAAATTGACTTATGTTATGTCCTTCCTCTCCATTTTGCGAGAATTTCAGTGCTACCTCTGGTCTCATTCATTGTCAAGGAATGTGGCCAAATTGTCCTGGCACACTGTAAAAACCTTTAGTTACTGTCTGATGGCCTTTTGTCTCCAGTCATTTCCTTTGCTGAAGCAACATTCTTGTGCTTCTGAAGTCTAAGGTTTCCTGAATTGAAGAAGCGTACAGAAACTTATGAATGGAGTCCACAGCTATCATCTCCTTGACTTCCTTGTGTGTTATCTTTGATTTTTAAGATGCACAATCCTTGTTTCTATCACCATGCAGAAATACAATTCATCTTCATCTTATCTTATAACATCTATCATCTGCATACTTGTAGGAAAGAGCCCTGTGAGTCACTTTTTGATGCTTTGTGCTGAGAGCTGATGGGCTGAGTGAGGGTGGTCCTCTCTTTTTTTTCACTTCTCTTTATCTGAAAAAGCTGATGGAACCCAAAAAATACATACATGTGAAAACCAGTGAGGGACTAGTTTGATGCATTTTACTGTATTACATTTTTTGTGGTTTGCACGTTAATTATTATTATTAATTATTTCTCTTCTTATACTTATATGTGATGTCAAAACAGTTACAGTATACTCCTGGTAACTGAATGGCCTGAAGATAGAATTTGTCATATTGTTGAATGACGAATGTTGCTGTGTCACTCCGTGGGCTTATTCGGGAGCTTATGTCTGGCCTCTTCATGGGGACAATGCAGGGCAGTAACTCGAGCCTTGTGGTTCAGGTGACATATCAGAGCTTCCTGCATATTTGATGAGCCAGCAGAGAAGGCACAAGATAGCAGCTGACCTGGTGTCTCAATAAAACAGGACTTTCACATTTTAACAGGTTCTGTTTCGGCTCTTGATGAGATTGACCCCATTTGTAATTGCAGCTATGTTTTACTCTTTAGTGTTTAAAGCTGGGCTACCTAAACTTCATACTACAAAAAATAGAGCAATGCAATAAAGTCCATCTAACAAGCTCCTCACTTTCAAGAAAGTTTGGATATTTAATTAGTTTTCACTTTCATGTAATTTGTCACATAATATATATCAACTTTTTCGGGCAGAAAGACCAAGAGGTAAAAAAGAGAGGACCAATCCGCACTAAGCCTAAAGTGTCAAATAGTGACTCACTGGGCATGAATGAAGAATAGCATGTTTTGTCCAATGATTTAGACTGCATGTTATGGTCTGATTTGTTGACAACATTTTACTTTTACAAGACACTAACGTTTGACTTTTATATATGTAGCTGGAATACATTTAATTACAGCACCTTTAAATATAGGCGTAGAATGAAATAAGTAATAAAAGGAACACATTTTATTTATGTTGCACTTTGCGTTTCAACAAAACCACAATTAATGATCACTAAAATAATTACCAATTTTTTTTTTTGCTTTAATAGATTTGGTAACATAAAAGAGATCATGCTGTTAACTCTTGTATACTGGTATATTAGTTAGTTCCACAGCTGCCACATTTTTTTTCTTTTTGGTATTTAGGAAAAACAGGCATTGCTAAATGGCTTTTTACTTTCATCATTTTGTCGTGTGTGCTTGGCTTTTAGTGTTTTTGATCTGTGGCCTACTGTATACTTTGCCTTTCATCACTGCGTTCTGCAAGGTGCCTGCCAGAAGATCCATTCTTCAGTTTATAGTGTGTGGTGAATTTCAAATGACTCACTGCAGATTTAAACTACTGCAAATGAGTCGTCATCCATAGTGGCGTGTGGAATGCACAAAAGAAACGATTTGGAAAAGACTTGGTGGCAGCCGGAAGAGGGATGTGGGAAAAGTGAGTTTTTTGATGAATGTTGGAGGTTATGGACTTGTCAGTGAGCGATGAGATGCTGCGGCGTTCTGTGTCCCTGTTGGACTATTTGTGTTGATCTTTCTACATTCTCATTACTGATTAATAGTTCATAAAGGCACTGAGACGGAGAAAAGATGTGGTTGACCTGGTTACGCTCCACCCTGGACCATCCCCTACTGAGTCCCTCCTTCCTGCCTCATTCCACTATTTGCTTTTGTAAATTGTCTGTCATCTCTCATCTATTAGCCCTCTTGTTCTTCCCAATTTATCCCGAAACTTTAAGAGCTGGGGAGATAAATGTCATTGAACCAGGACTATATTAGCCATATTGTCCAGGGAAAAATACATGACCAGATCCTAACATGAACTGACCTAACTATGGTCCCTATTCTTAGCCCCCACAGTTTGCTCCTTGGGTCCTGATGTGGTTTGGGATGCAGTGAGAGTTGCACAGTGACTGGGCCCCAAAGTACAAACACGGAGCGATCCAAAATAAAGCCTGTGCAAGTTCTTTGGAGGCCATGTGGAAAGAGTGCAAAAATAAGTTTGAATGTGTGTGTGTGTGTATAAGAGTTAAACAGTCAATATGTGTGCATGGACAAAGCAGTCATATTATGTTACATTCAGAATGGAATTTCAGATTAAGCATGCAGACATGAACGGTGTAATTTGTGGGAACATTTATTGACTATACAGAAAAGGCATTTATGTTATTATTATCTTCACTGTCACTGGACAAATGAACACCTCCTGATAGTTTCCATGGATATTTACCGTACTCCTCCGTCCTCTTCTTGTCTTATCTGTGGAGTGGCACCCCTGTGGAAAGTTAGAATGTATGTTTATTATTTATTCATGAATAGATTATCTTTAACTGGATGAGTGCAATATTCCATGTGTTTAATGCTAATCTAATGAGTAGTGGATGGCAGACCCTGCGTTACAAAAAATGGTGGATTTTTATGAAGCTGAATGCGCAGGTTCAGACTGAAAGACCGAGTGCCTGCCAGCCTCAAGCCTCAGCCAATCACACAGCCCTGCCAAGCCTCGAGCCTCAGCCAATCACACAGCCCTGCCAAGCCTCGAGCCTCAGCCAATCACACAGCTCTGCCAGCCTCGAGCCTCAGCCAGTCACACAGCCAGGCCAGCCTCCTGCCAACCCTCTCACAGCAAAGCGGGCAGTTTAAAAGGCAGCCACTTCCTGACAAGCAACGCTTCCTGAGGCTCTTAAACACCCACCACCTCCCCAGCACCCCCTCTGGCTCCTGCTCTGGCTCCCGCTCTGGCTCCCGCTCTGGCTCCCGCTCTGGCTCCCGCTCTGGCTCCCGCTCTGGCTCCCGCTCTGGCTCCTTATCTGGCTCCTGCTCCGCCTACGCCCCATTCACACCATACTCTAGCCACCACCAGTGATTGACCCCGGGGGATCTGAGATCATCTTCAGCTGCAATCGATCTCATTGCTGCAAGTGTCACTGCCGGGGACAAAGCGCCAAACAAATAAATTGTTTTATTGTATTAATCGTGTCTTTGGTCTCTTCAGATTGAACTGCCACTGACCAAAAGAGCAGGACTATGTATGACTTATATATATTTTTCTTAATACACTAAAATATTCCAGACTTTATGCAAATACAAGTGGTGGAATGGGTCGTTTCCATATGTCCGCCAGAGCGTAGTGTGGTTTTCCCGGAAACAGATCTTTTGGAAAGCGGACGTGAAGCTGGCGCGCAGCACTGGAAATGATCAGGAAAAGTAATCAAAGATGGAGCTGGTGTTAATGAGGGGGAACGCCTGCTGTGGCTTCCTTGATGTGTGCATGTGTCTCTTGTCTGTGGATATCTCTTGGTCTATGACTGTGTTGAACCAAGTAATGATGATTAATGAGCGGAGGAGCAGGCCGTGCAGCAGCTGTTCACAGTAAGAAAGTTTTGCTCGTTGAACTTGTTCCGATATCAATGCTCTGCTCATAGCATAAAAGAATGACACGGTTTACATGTTCTGATACATAATGTCTTGTTAGCTGTAATCATGGACACAGTGTACTCATGCTCTTGTCAACAAAGCTTTCAATTTAGACAATGCAATTTTCTCTCCCTATCATAATGTCTATTGGTTTATGTTAGATCTGTTTCATTTCCATACCGCTTTTAGAGGCCTGGTTTTACTTTGATTCTATGACTTATTTAAATTTAAAACTTATGTATGTAACTTATTAATGTTAGGCAATAGAATTATAAATCCACTCATGTGTATAAAGTATGCATAGAAAGTTTATCTCCCTAGTCTTCCACTGTATATGCACACACCACTCCAATGCAATTAGAATACCATCATATGAATAATACTCGCAATGTGTTCATGAGAGCAGCATTCTGAAAACATCAACTGAAAGCGTTCTACTGCCCCATCAGGAAACTAAAGGATTAATTGTAAGACTTTATTTTGCAAAACTGTGACAGAACTGTGCTAAAATATATGCAAACAATTTATTTCTGTGTCTAAGGCTAACACAACAAAAAAACTTTTGATTATTACAATTTGACAATGTGATTTCTTGCTGCTGTGCTTATTATTTTTTGTAATTATAATAAACTTGACGAGGCTATTTGTATTGGAACATAACATCGACTCTCAAAAGGGGAATCTACAAATGTTTGGTCAGGATATTTATAGGCAAGGCAAGTTTTTTGTATAGCACAATTCATAAAAAAGGCAACTCAAAGTGCTGAACATAACAAGATAGCATTGATCATAAACAATCTCAGTACATTACAATACAAATAAAAGTATAAAAACATAAAATCCCTCAGTTGTATTCACAGCAAAACAGAACCTGGATTCATACATTGTCGGGAAGATTGCATCGCTCACATTTTCAGGAAGATTGTTCCAGATTTTTGCTGCATGAATCTGAAATACAGCCTCCCCATGATTAGTTCTGACTCTGGGCATTAGCAGGAGTCCAGTCCCTGTGCTCCTCAGAGTCCGGCTGGTTCATATGGGACTAACATGTCACTATTTTGAAGCATTGAATATGCCTAATTCCGTTCTAACACTGATTACCAACAATCAAATGACCATATCAAGTTAATTAGGATCTCAGTTTATCAAAGGGGATATTATAGATGTAACTCTTTAACTTGTGATTAATATCCTTTGCAAATGTGAAACAGGAATTAAATACTTAAGTTTAAGGAGATAAGTTTGCTTCACTATTTACAATAGTAGCGAGGCCGAGGCCATAATACTGCATGTCTATATTCAGGATGAACATAAACAAATGAAAGAATCATATTTAGACTCAACAGCTCCAGAACAAGATTAGTGTGATAAGATTTTCAGAATCCATTTCTGTCTTATATCATTATAACTCATGCAATTGTTTATCTCTGTGCTGATCTGAATCTGGCTCCATGAGACACGAGCCAGAAATGACTACTTTATGAAATGTGAAAAAAGGAATGTGAGGACACAGCGAGGACTGGATTTTACACCACCGTTTGTTTTGAATTGTATAAATTCTGCTGCAGAGAACCTATTATGTTTCATCATTTCCATACCCACGCTAAATTTAACTGCATTATATTAAGCATGTTACGTATCAAAGGATTTTACTGTTTGTTTGAACGGCTTTGAACTCATTGACTCGAAACATCATATTTTAGAAATTGTACCAGAGTTTTTCTTAATGATGTAGCGTTGACTGAGGTTTATTTTTAGATGAATAAATGAATTGAAAGAGCTTACACTGTAACTGATTTGTATGTAGATAAATAATGATGCAACTTAATCCTGTGATCCTTTGGGTATTTGGTAGTCATGACCAGATTAGACCACATTTTCATTAGTTGGACTCTATTCTTTACTTATTAGGCAAAACAAAACATGTGGACTGTTGTTGATACACAAGAACTCATATTATAGTTTAGAGCTAAATTCTCATGTATCAACCTTGTATTGCATTGAATTAAATTTGTTTTTGGTATCTTTACTGACCTCTTGTGACATACTTTATCGTTTTGTTTGTTTGCCCAACGCATTTCAAAAAATACATCAGGGGTCCAATTTTATTTTAATTATTTAATTATATTGTGGATTTTTGTGAAGAAATATTTAGGCTGTTTTAATGCTGTATTTATCCTTGGAGAAAACATTTTCACTATTGCATATTCATATTTGCAGGAAAAAGCTGTGATAGTTGCTAACAAATCATGCATGTGAATACTAGCATGATTTGGGTGGGTTTCCTCCAGACGCTCCGGTTTACCCTGTATAAAAAAAAAAAAGCCCCTTAAGGTAAAATCTTTGGTAGACTTGAAATGGTGTTCCACTTTTTCGTGGTTGGGAAAGCAGGCACCTCAGCTTTAACCACCAAACAACTCCGGATCCAGTATTATTGATGTTCTTGATAAAATTCTGTGACATAGATATTATTTGTAAAATATACGATTACCCAGAGAAACATAAACCAATCCCAATACTAACATTTACTCTCATTCCCATACCTCAAAACTGGCTTTGTATCTTAAAAAGAAATAGAACATTACATGTGGATATTTTGTGCAGAGCTGGAGGTCGGGGTGCTGAGAGAGTGCTGCATTGGGGGGAGAGAGTGGTGTTGGATGGAGACAGAGAGGAACTGTGGAGACGTGGAGAAAGAAAATTGGAGAGGAAATTGAATGCAAGCAGCAGGTTAATCAGCCTGACTTGTTAGCTGTCTGTCACCTCAGCATGTTTTTTAGGATCACTGATTACACAGACAAACTCCCGCCCATTGACAGTGTTTGATTGTTTTAGTTGTTGTAATAAATAATACAAATGTACAAAGATTTATTGTTTTGTTTTTGTAGTGTAATGTTAAGTGTTAGCCAGTTTCAATCAGAAACTTCTGGTGAGGGGTTTGCTATCTGCTTGTCTCTGTTGGAATTTCACTTTGCATACAAAACGAGTGGATTAGGCCTCAGACGCATGCATGTTAAAAAAAACAATCTAGGGCACTCAACTTTCAAATGGCCAAATGAAAATAACTTTATAAACTCGCCTGTAGTAGCTTGTTCTTTGCTCTCAAAACAGTTTTCACATGCATGCAATTTTGGCCTCTATCCCATCGTTAGACCTGAGCAAAGGAAGGCTTCTCACCCATCATCTGTACTTCTTAGCAGGTTTTCCCGACGTCCGTCCTTCATCTAAAGAACTTCTTCAAGGGAATGAAATCTCAGACCGCGCTTTGGAGATTTATAACCTATGGGTGTGGTTAGCCACACCTTCATCCTGATGCTAACTCATTTTTTAAATAGAAAATGTTAAGTACCCCAGCTTAAATGTACACAAGTTAAATAAAATAGAATACTGTGGCACATCCATGGGAAAAAATATGATATTTCAATGGAGACATGGTTCATCTAGCATCATAAATCGTTGTTTAATTAAGATAGCTGTTGGAACACAGCTATTGATTATATGTAAAATGGTCAGAATTGAATTGATTCTATTTACAATGTCAGTACATTTTCAATTTACTTTTCTCTTTCAGTAAAAAAAAATCTTCTGAAGTCTTGAGGTAGTTTGGTATGCATTTGTAATGATTTGTAAGCCCAGTTTGAGTCTTGAAATGGTGCAGTGTTGCTCAAAAGAGGGTATTAGCAGGGTGTCTCGCCGCACTTTAACAGCTTAGTGGGCTCGAGCAGGTGAGACAGCGGGGATTTCCTGTCCGGCCTCCTCACTACATTCTTGCTAAATTGTTCTTTGCTGTGTGAAGTTGGGGGTCTTTTTCTCTCGTCTGCTGCAGATGTGAAGGAACCCCACAGGGCACTATAAAGATGTGCCTAGACCAATACAGACTGCATTATAAGTGTCACTCTAGTGTGCCTGTTTTTGAATAATGGCTGTGTTTTATGCAGAAAGGAGACTACAAAGACTGGAGCTCAGTATTAGACCCTGGTTCACTGCCAAACCAGCAATGTGAGATAAATACTTCACCATCTTACACCTGGGGGTCCTGGCCTGCTTTTAATGAACTCACATGAGAGGACCTCTGTGTGTCTGCAGCCTGCCCAGTGTGTGCTCACTTTACACATTGCCATGCACATTAGTACTGACAGCTTGCTGTGTCCGGTAATACAACCAAAGTTTTTGATTGTGTAATTTGGTGGTAAATATTAACTTCCTCTTTCATATTATAGTTATCGTATCACAATTCCTCATTCTGATAACTGTGTTAAGATTTAGCTGTCTTGTAAATGTCACCTTGATGTCATATTTTTGCCATTTATTTTTACGCTGGTGTTCCATAGCAGTTCTGAAAAAGCTTAAGATTATATTTATTTATTACTATATGAAACTCTTTTTCAGAAGTCCTCTGCTCTACATAGAAAAAACATGCATACACTAGCACAATAACAATAAAACAGTTAAAACATCTACAGTTATGCTTTTAAAACTCCCAATACCGAATAAAAAAAATTATGATGGCACCAATTTGACAAACGTCTGACATTTCAACACATCCTTTACAAATATATTGAATACAAAGTGCTCTGTAACGGACAACATAAGTTTTCATAAAGTTAGATTCATTCTAAATAATTAGATAACTCTTAACTGTTCTGGAAACACATGAATAGACTACAGTGATTATTAAATTAAGGCAAATGAGGTCCAGGGTTTGATTCCACCTACAGACAGGGCCTTTCTGTGTTGCGTTTGCATGTTCTCCCTGTGTGTGCATAGGTTTGTTTCAGGTACTCCAGTTTCTCATACCACTAAAAGCGGTGAAGGTTGAATGAGTATGTGTTCGTGACTGTGGGAATACAGATGGAAATTTGCCACAAAGCTATCTGGTGTATTTATAGCTCAGTAATACAGTATTAAGTAACACACATTGTCCCCTCCAAAAAAACAAAGATGATAATAATATATCAGTGTGAAATAAGTTTGAATCTGTTTGCTAAATGTGCATAAAAAAATGGATTTCTCTAGTTCACTCGGGTTCAGTTACTTCACCATAGCAACAAGAATTCCAAATGTACTGTAAGTGTTGAAGGTGTTGAGAAAGCACAGAGCGAGTGGGACGATGGTGGGAGTATTCACGCGCACGCTTCAGATGGAGGGCTTTTTATGTTTTGAGAACTTTGCCTTAATTGATCCGCATATCTCAGAACTACTCCCTTCCTTTGTCACACTCAATCACAAAACGCTAAAAATGTTGCTGAAATGAAACGAATTATGGAGGTGCGCTGACTTGTGTTGTGTTGTTTTAGGTCGATGCTCTGCGTGTGCGTCTGGAGGAGAAGGAGCAGTTTCTGACCAAGAAGACAAAGCAATTACAGGACCTGTCTGATGAGAAGAGCACACTGACTGGAGAGATACGGGATCTCAAGGACATGCTGGATGTCAAGGAGAGGAAGGTCAACGTCCTACAGAAGAAGGTACAGCCTCAGACCATTCCCCATATTGAATTTCACATCATTACACTGTCTCCACAACAAAACAAAGCTGAGTAAAGCCACAGGATTATGGAAGTGGCCTGAGAGTAATTTTCCTTAATAAAAAACATATGACATTTGTTGTAAATTATTGGCTAACGAGGTCGATGACAAATAATAGTGTTCACCGTAGTGACATTTTCTGCACACCTGCTCGCCCACACGCGACTTAGAGCGCCCTCACACTTGTTGGTCTGGTTCACTTGAACTGGACCTAGTCTGATTCACTTGAACTGGAACTAGTCTGGTTCACTTTTGGAAAAATGCTTCACAGATTTCAAAAGATATAAACTGACTTGTTTGGTGGTTTTACATCCACAAATAACACATTTTTCCCCAAGCGAACCAAATTGGTACTGTTGAAGTGAACCTGACCAACAAGTATGAACGCACCCTTAAAGCTGCAGTACTTAACTTTCTACCCCATCAACAAAATCCTAGAGAAAGAGTCTTAAAGTGAAATGAAAAACGCAGACCAAAACCTTACTAGTTTATTCTTTGGGCTGACAGCTGTGTGACAGAAGCCAAAAAATGCATGCTTTTGAAAACTAGTGATAGAATCAAATTGTTTTAGACAATGAAAAAGAGATGGAGAGTTATTATTACTTTTCTTTTTGTGGTTTGAAAGTTAGGAACCCTATCTTTAAGGTCAGATGCGTGTAGAAGGGTCTTAGTCCTCCATGAGAGCATTATTATGATTCCCATTTCAGCTTCACTTTTTTTCTCTAATGTCCTTAAAGCAGATCAATATCTCTCACCTCATCTGCCTTTTCTCTCTTTGTAATGATTTAGTGATTTCTGTGCTTCTCACGTCTTAAAATGTGTGTCAAATGGGGTGGTGACAAATAATATGTCCATGTTTATGGTCAATCATACATTCAATCATAATTTCAGCATTTCACACGTTAAAAATAACTCGTGGATAAACATTTTTTACCTCAACCTAACATTGTTTTTCAATAAATGTTGGAAATGTTTCGAATTCATGTTTGACCATTATAAATTCGGGCGTTCTGCTCTCCCAAAGTTCCATCCGATGGGCGGGGGAGCGACTGAATTTTGCGTTGCATTATGGGTAACACTTGCCTTCGCAACTTCCGGATCTCTCTGCCCGGCGCATTTTCTCTAAATGGTTGAGTGTTTTCGTCATTTTCTGTATGCAAATACATTCCCGTCTCTAACTAGTGGCATATCGCGCAAATCATCCGTCCAATTCACATTCTTCCCTCTTAGCTGAACTTCATTCTCATTGTTACCATCTGTCACTCGCACACACAGCCGTTTTCGTTCACTCTGCTCGCTGTCATCTTCTTCTAAATCTTCATAAACACCATCCGCTCGTTGAACTAGCAACAACAATTCCTCCTTTCGTTTTCCCACACTGCAAATACCCTTTCGCTTCAACCTTTCACGCAATTCAGGCACTGTCAATCGTTTGTTGTTTTCGTGAGCCATATTCGCCATTGTATGAAATCAACCGGAAGTGAACTGGGCAACAAACGGTGTCATTTTTTGATCACAGCGCCGCTCAGTGGATGGAATTTTGGGAGAGCAGAACGCCCGAATTACAAAATGCGGCTAGAGGTCATTTGAATCAAAATTGATTCTAATTGGTCAAGACTGGTTGAACTAGAAATAATGAGCTCTAGAGAAAAAAAAATTGTCTCAGTTGCTGTGGGAATTTGTAAGTCTTATGTATGATAACATCAAACAGAGGAGCTCTGTTTTAGCCTTCATTCTACCAAACCATAACCAATGCATAATGATGTATTTATTTGTTTCTTTTTCCTCATTTTGATGGGCTGTTTCTGTTAAAAGAACAGAGTTGGTTGCTGTGTGGGTTTGGCATACATGTGTTATTCATGTTTATACATTGTGGTCATTCATATTCATGCTTCTTAGAGGTCGACCTGTGCCCGTGGAAGGATAGTATTGACTTGCACATTTTTCTCTATAGTCTGCTCAGACACTTGAGTTATGTCTGCTTGCCGCACATGTGTGTCTGTAAAGAGCCATGTTCTTTACATATGAGTCTGTTTTTTCTAATGGGGTCTAGCAGCAGCGTTTCCCTGGGGGACCTGCACTGGCCTGCCCTGTCAGCACTCACTGCAGCCTGGTTTCATCGCTGACTCTGACCTAGTATCATCGGCACAGCCCAGGCTCCTTCTGTGTTGAAAAGCAGAAAAGGAGCAAATGAGCGAGCCACTGGAGGGGAATAGAATACGCTGATAAAAGGTTTCCTGTCTGTCCTTATACTTTCTCTTGTAAACTGTCAATTTTTAATCATCTATGAGCTTCTCCTCCTAACGTCTGACTTTCCTGGCTGAATAAACAATAGTACATCGAGTGTCTCTTGCTGGATCTTAGTGTAAAAAATGTCTGCACTTAGGCGCAGGATTAAGCTGAGAGTTGTCTTCCTAAACACTCTGGGTTTTCATTTCGCTCCCGCCTCCCACATGTGCACACTTCCCTTACACAATACAGGCCCTGTTGAGTGTGATGCATATGGATAGCAAGGGGAAGTGGTGCCGCTCTTGATAGAAAGCAAAATATTGGTGTAGTGTTTGTTGTGAGATTTATGTTGGAGGGCACGCACAGTGTGGGTAAATAAATATGGCCTTTCTCAGAGCTTATGTGGAAGGACTCCAGATGTGATATCATGCATGTCATATGTTTCTTCACTTTTAACTTTCTGCTAAAATGGATTATGTGAAGAGTTTATCTTGTTCGATTCCGTAAGAATAGGGATGTATGGTATAAAAATATGTTTTGGTGATTGTGATGTTAGAGGTCATAATGTAATTTTAACATCTAAAGAAAGTAATCTTGAGAATTGTGTTTGTTCAATTAAATACACAATATACAGTCCATGTGTCGGGCTGTGTTCTTTCTAGATGGTAACAGAACACATTCCCAACTGCCTGTGTGATCTTTGATAGATGTGTGATGAGGCCAACAATGGCTTTCATCCTAATAGGTTCCATCTGACCAATCAGAGTGCAGAGACAGGCTCCCAGATAAGGCCGTCAGAACATTGGGGATTCCTGTAACCGGCCCTGCGCCTGTGACTGTGGCCCCCTCGGCTCCTATCAGCAATCAGCGCTGGGCTAATGGTGCGAGCCTGAGGGCTGCTGATTGGAGCCAGGCTAAAAATCACTCAAGACAAACCCTCTGTTCCTCCAGCTTGACCACATGTTGTACTACACGTATAAGCGACTCACTGGAGATGTTGATGACGAGCTATAAGTCAAGGCCATTTTTGTGTGTAATCCCAAACGTCACATCTTAAGCACCCACCCTAAATCACAAACTAACTGTATTTCCAGCTTGGTACATCAAAGCATTTCCATTCCTCCTCTTTAGAACAAGTCACAAATTAATATCCACGTTGGTAAATAGATACAGTTTTGCTATCCTGCTTTAATTGTTGTGTTTTTGGCCACAGCCTGGTTTGTTAAAGGAGCAGAATAAATGCTTGCGAGTCACGGGCCTTGGTCTTAATCCAAGTGAGACACATAGAAAATTCTGTCTCCTCCACTTGATCATGGTTCTGCTTTGATGAGTGTTTCTTTCCTTGGCTTTTGGATGGTTTCTGGAGACTGTATACATAAAATATTGAGACATGGAAGAAAGCTGTATCCTGTGACTGCTCATATTTTTTGTGGAATGGACAGTTGTTGATCAAAAGAGTCTACAATGTTTGGTTTCCAAGCCTGTCCCCGCCTGCTTTAATGACATTCAAAAACAGCTTAGTTAGTTCTACTTTGTATTTTTGAGGGCTCTACACAAGAATACCTTCGCCTTTACAACCTTATTCAAGACATTGAGTCGTAATGAAGACCCATTGCTTTTATTCATGGTTAACTCACAGCTAGACGGTGCCCCTTAAACATAAAAATTAATGGCGTTCCCCTCATTTTGAAATGTGTGGATGATTTCAGAACATTATGCCTTGACGCTCCATCTCTCTCTTGTTCTCTCCCTTGTTAAATATGAAGTCACTTTTCTGTCGTTCTGGTCGATAACATGTGAGTAATAGCAGTTCAAGCAAGAGCAGCATGACATAAGGAAGGTCATATGAGGCGGGCAGGGGGAGAGGTGTGATTTTGTTCTGTGTTACATTGTCTCTTTTTTATTGTCAGTTACGACTTGGCAAACGCAGGTCTTCTGGGTGCTTTTTGAGTTGCCGTAACTTCCTCCTCAGTGGCTCATTACATCTCGGCAATTACATGAGGCAGAACTTCAACTACTGCTTTTAAGCACAAAGAGCAATGAGTGACTGTCAGGCTTGACCAGAAAATAAACCCAAAGCTGTATTTAACCACATGGGGGCGCCAGCTTACACTTTATCATGCCTTAGCGGCTATGGACACTGATTACTGGATTTTTGGTGTAGTTGAAGTTAACTGCAAGATTTGACTTTGCTTAAATCTGGGTGTATACCACAAAGCTGGAATACCACAATTGCTGTTCTTTTCTTACCAGAATGTTTATTTTTATTTTTTTATCTTTTACATACTGAGAGCTGATTGGAGTGAGCACATGTACTCTATTTTGACAGAGGCCATGCATGTAATAACAAAGTTTTGAATGTGACAATTTAGAAGGCATCACTACAAACTATTCATCTACAAAGTTGTCTTCTTTGCCTTCTTTTCATGTTTTTGAATTTGAGAATGAAACCCAGTGCCCCCGGTAGGCCTACTGTCCTCTTGTGGATATTTCTATTCAAACCCTTATTTGTATTATTGATAATTGTTATTAGCCTGTAAAAATTCTTCAATAATCTTGTTCAAGAACAAAATAAAACTTGTGCAAATGGGAACAACATGGAACACATTTTGTGAAAGCCTATAAAAGTCTCAAATGTTGTATTTGGATGACGAATTGTAGTCTTTTCTGTCTGTCTGACAGTGGCCTGGATTTGTGTGGGAGGAATATTG